TTTCACTCTAAGTTTAAAAAACAGCACAGACTTTGCAGTCAGACAAACCAAAGCTTACAGTCTGGGCTCTCCCACGCACCAACCTCTGGCTGCAGGCAAGTGACTTGACCTCTCTGAGCCTACTTATCCATCTGTAGAATGGCAGGGTTGCTGCCGTCAGGGGATCACAAGGATTAAATTAAGGGACGCCAATGAGTGGGGCCCACAGGAACATGACTTCCTCCTCTCTATTCCCCACTGAAAGGACGTTGAGTCCTGAGTGAGTCATCAGAGGTGTCAGGTTCCTACCGGGGAATCACGGGCTCTCAGAAGGGAACCCAAGGCTCCCTTCTCTGGGTTCTGGAAAAGCCAGAAAGGAAACAAAGCTCCGAAGGTTCGGGCTGCCGGCACTGCCGGCAAGGCCTGGACTGGCTGATCTGAGGGTGTCCTTTGCGGGTATCAGACTCAGCAAATGCCCAAGCAAGCTGCTGTCTGGGTGCCTGTGAGGGATGCCCAGCTCAGAGTGGCCAGAAGACCCCATGCCTGCCCCCATCAGCAATATCCACCATCTGTAAACTCCTTTGTGTTCCGTTTCCCCAAGACCAGGCATCTGCAGGCGATCGGAGGACTCTGTTTTCATGAAAGGTCTGTCCCTGCCCAGCACAGAGCTAAAGAGACTGGCCACCAGGGCCACCCCCACCCTGTGCTGGAATGTACCCCAGCTCCAACCCCGTCCGCGGGTCTCCCAGGGCAGAGAAGGCCCAGCAGACCCCGGGCATGACCAGCCCTTCCTCTTCCCTTGCAGATGACGATGAGCACGAGTGGATCATCAAGACGTGCCGCAAGGGTTGGGACGAAATCGTGGGTCACCGACCCAAGCTGTGAGCTCTGCAGCGGCCCCCATGAGAGGTCTCCACACCCTGGCCCTGTAGGCAGCCTGCAGCTGCAGATCCTGACTTTTGACCCAGGAATAAAGCCTTTCTGCACTCAGTGGCCCCAAGTGCACTTCTTGAGACCCTTTCTTAGAGAGGGGATCCTCATTTTACCAGCACCAAAATCACCTGGGCCAGAGTGCAAATTAGCTATTTCTGGGCCCCACCCTAGACATGCTGGTCGGAGCCTCTGGGAATGGGGCCTGGCAGTGTGCACCCCCAGCTGCATTCCCTCAGGCAGTCTTATTTCCCCGGTATTCCTCAACATCACATGTTTCCCGAAGATCACATGTCAGCTGAAAACCAGAAGAGGAAGGGATGGCATGTTCCAGGGCCACACTTGGGCCACAAGCATCCTGGATCTTTGCATAACGGTCCCTCCATAGAGGCTGCTGCATTCAGCAGCACCCCCCCCCCCCGCCCCGACCCAACCTACGCCCCTTTGTTCCTGGCTCACTAAGAGCTGCTAGGAGAAGGCAGGCCTGTGAAGGCTCTGATAAGGTCTGCAGGGGCAGAAAACTGACCCTCAAACCAGGGAGCCAGAGTTGGCGTGCTAGTCAGAGTTAGGAGTCAGAGGCTGGCCTGGGCACACTCAGCTGCACCATGGGGGGCGGGGTCCTGAGTAGTTACCTGTCCCCTCCGGGGAAATAGTTACCTCTGTAGAATGATAGGGTTGAGCTCCACAGGGGTCTCCAAACTGTGTTTTGAAAACAGAAGGGACATTCATGTAAAGAAGAACACACACACACACACATAACTAAAACTAAACTAAAATATTTTTTCAAAGATACACACGTATCTAAATCAACATTTGGTAAGTGGACCAGAAAAAGGCGGGGAGGGGCAGAGATGGGGTCTGGGATGCTGAATGAAACAACTAATAACGACAGCAGTCCTGCAGGGGTGATGACCAAGTACAACCTGAGCTGAGGTTTATGAATAATTCAATGCAGGGGCTGGGGGTGGGAAGCCTCTGCACTGGACACGGCCACTCTCCTCCTGTCCTTGAGAGCTTTGGCTTGAACCAACAGTTGCTAAAAGAAAAGTTGGCAGCAAGCAGAAAGATACTGCCTCTCATTCCCCATATTCTGTGATGGCTCTGGAACCCAATAAGGCCAGTACGAGACCCAGACTCGTATCGAAGCTAGAGCCTTGTCTCCCTGTTTCCCATCCCATATCCCTTTCAATTCACCATACCAAATTCTCCTGTACCTTCCAAACAGGCCCCTCTGCACTTCCTTCCCTGGCCCCCCAACATCTCTTTTTATTTTTAATGTTTTATTTATTTTTGAGAGAGAGAGAGAGAGAGAGAGAGACAGTGTGAGCAGGGGAGGGTCAGAAAGAGAAGGAGATACAGAATCGGAAGACAGGCTCCAGGCTCTGAGCTAGCTGTCAGCACAGAGCCCGAAGCGGGGCTCGAACCCATGAACCATGAGATCTTGACCTAAGCTGAAGTCGGACGCTTAGCTGACCGAGCCACCGAGGCTCCCCATCAACATCTCCTCTTTTGCACCTATTCTGTGAACCTCTCAGCTGATAAATCTGGCCCCAACATCCCCTATCCTGGCCCTCACGGCATGTTGGAGGGATCCACCTGCTATAGCATCGGATCCCTCTAACAGCTCCTGTGTGGCCCGTGCGCTGGGCCCTTCTCTGAGCCTGCAGAGCCAGCACAGGGCCCAGCAGAGAGCGTGTGTTCAGAAGTGACATGGAGGACAGTAGCCAGTCGGGCCACCTACACAGCTTAGACTGGACAAGAAACACACAGGTGACTGACTGGGAAATAGTACTGATTGTCCAAGAAGGGGGGCTGCAGTGTCTGGCAGCCCAGACACTTGGGTGGGCCCCCGGCAGTGGCTCGGACATGGGCTTCCGGCAGTTGCGGGGCCGTCGTGGGGAGCCTTTAACCAGAGACCAGGAAAGAAATGGAATCCCGTCATGTTCTGGATTTAAGTGCCAGCACTTCTACTTGCATTAACTTTATTTATTACACAAATAGGACATTTACAAAGCACAACATGAAAGGTATGTAACAAAACAGACATTGGTTTTACAAAAAAAGTGCTTACAATTTTTTTTTCCGTGTGTGTGTTTTCTCCCTCTGTTTTGTATTTAAATAAATAGTCTTGGTGGCCTGTGTGTTCCCAGGCTGCTCTAACAGGCTAGTGGAGAGCTGTCTGAATGACAACATGCTACAGCCACATGATCCACGCAAGGAACAGACCCTGGGGTGGGAAGAAGCTCAGGGCAGAGTGGGTACTAGGTGATCCACTTGGGCTGGGCTTGGCTGGCCACTTACCACATGGTTGTGCTCAGAGCTTCGTCGACATCAGGAGCAAAAATCAATGGGAACAGAGGTCCCCAGTCACCGAGGATCAGGCCCGAGCTCCTTTTGTTGACATCAGCCCCCTGTGCCATGGCCAGGTACAAGCTACTCAGTGGATGAGCTCTGAACTGAGCTGCACTGACCGCATTCTGGTACCACCTTCTCTTGGCCCTGAGCCACCTGGAACAGTCTTCAGAAGGGAAAGGAAGCAGGTTCCCAACTTGGGCCATACCCGGGGCTGGCCCTCCTCCAGGTCCCAGAGCAAGAAAGGCAAATAGGTTTTTGTTTTAAGTGCCAGCTTCAATATCGAAACCTTATCCAGACTCAGAGAGACAGGGAGATGCAATCGATTAGCGACGCCCACCACCTCTGACAACAGGGACAGCGGATACGCATGTGCCATGAACTTGCTTTCCCTGTCCTAGGGTCTCCTTCCAAGAGCAACAGATCAGGCTAACCAAAGCAGGAGGGAGGATCCGGGCTAGAGCATGCCTACCAGCAGCCTCTAGTGGGAAATGCATCTGGGCACCAAGCAATTCTGAAATTACAGGAGAAGGTGGGGACAAATGGGCGTCCCCCGAAAACATAAATCATGGTCTTGTGCAGCCCAAGCCCTTTTGTTTGGGGTGGTAGAGTTGCAGCAGAACAGGGTGGATGTGAGCACAGCTGTGTCTGGCCTGCATTCTCGGGAGTGGGTGGGACTGGCTCTGGGCGGGGTTGGTGGGGAAGCCCACCAGGGCCCACCGGGACCCTCGGCTTGGCACACTCACCTAGGCAGCAGGTACCCTCTCCCTACTCAGAGCCAGGTTCAGAATCTGCATTTTTACTGCCATGTCCCGGGCCTCTGTTTCTCCAGCTCTCCCCACCCCCCCACCATCAAGTGCTCCCTCCAAGGAAGACATGACCCAAGCTCCCCTATCAGGAGTCAACAAGTAGGCAGTGAGGGCCCCCAATGCTAACCCCCAAACATTCAGAAATGCCGTCATGCATCTCAAACACCATCTCCGCCAGTATATGCTGGATAACTAGGTAGGAACAGAGTCTCCGTACATACCCCGAGGTTTCTCTTTCCTCTCCTTAAAATAGCTCATGCCTCCCCCAGCCCGGTTTGCCACATCCTTCTCCAATGGGACCTTTTGCCGCCCGCCCCCCTCCCCCCCAACCCAGTCCCTGCCGATCCCCTGCCTCTTGGTCTGGGCAGGCCTCCATCTCTGCCCTGTTGGGCCTCTCAGGGTTGGTCAGTGTCTCTTCTCTCTCTGAATTAACTTGACATAACCAGACAGATGGAAATGATAAAATTAGAACATAGCTTTCCTTTGGGGACATCCCACAAACACTGTAGAGTTTTCCAGACAAAAGCAACAGAGTGGATAACATTTGGGGGGGGGGGTTGTCGGCTATTCAGAATTCAGAGATGGTTGCAAGGAAGTAGTAAATAAAGGCCAATATGGGAGGAAAGAAAACCTGTAAATTAGAAGGCTGTTGGCGTTGCACGGTTCAATTTGGCCTTTTGCTATTGTAATCAGCTTAAGTTGAAGATGACTCCTGTCTAAATGGAAACACAGGCCGTTGTTTTCGCCTTGATTCCAAATTTCAGGGAGCTCTGCCTTCCGAGAGGAGGACTCCGTAGTGCTCTTGGCAGGTTCTGGTTCTCAGCAGGAGAAGGAAAGGCCAGGCTCAGGGGCCCTGCTGGCGGCGGGCGGGATGGCGGGCGAGGGGCGGGTGCAGAGCGGGTGGGCCCCTGGCAGTGGCTCGGACACAGGCTTCCGGCGGCTGCGGGGCAGTTGTGGGGCGCCCGCGGACGGATGCGGAAGGGCCAACGGCGCTAGTACTGGAAAAGGATGACCTGCAAGAGGGGAGGGGAGGGGGCTGAGCTGGGGACCTGACGCCCCCGCTCTGGCCCCCGGCAACCCCCCAAGAGGTCCCCTGAAGGCACGGAAAACAAGCGTGGCTCAGGGCCCAGATCTGGGTTCCAAATCTAGCTCTGTCTGTCACTCACTTGCTGTGAGACCCTGGGCAAGTCACTGCACCTCCCTGAGCCTGTTTTCTCGTCTGTAAAATGGGATGACAAAACCCCTCTCTCAGAATGGGGAGGATTCAGTGAGATACAAGAGCAGCAGCGCACGTCCACTGGGCACTGCGCCCTGCTCCGGGCACTGTGCAAAGTCTTCCTTACGTTATGTGACAGAAGACTCAACCCCGTGAGGGGGTCCCGCCATTATCTGCACTTGACAGTGAGGGTCCTGAGGCCCAGAGGGGTGCAAATCAGTAAGCTCATGATCACACAGCTAGGCAGAGGTGGCCCGGGTCCTGCAGCACAGGCCTGGCCCCAGACCAAGCTCTCTTTGTTGTAATACATAGCCCCTGTGAGGCCCTGGTGACAACAGTCATCGATGCTCACTACACATCGGGCTGCGGGCCAAGCACTTCACGCACTTTGTCATCACCAAGTCAAGGGGCAGCCAGGTGCCTGACACACAGTGGGTGATCAGGAGCTGTCTGCCCCTTTCCCTCTCCCCCTTCTACCTAAAGCACCTGGCTGACTTCTCATCGCCATCAACAAGGCCAATCCCCTGAAGTTCAGGTCAAGGAGTACTGGCTGGCTAGTCAGTGGGAGGTGCCTTTTCAGAGTAACATGTCAGGAGGCGCTTTCAAGGGGTCCAGGGACATCCAGTAGGCATGGCCATATGGCCGTTCCACTTTCTGATCAGGAATGTTCCTTGCTCAGATCAGTTACCCGAAGGAGGAGCTGGAGGAAAGCAGTGGTGACGATCTCCATAAGCATAATGGAAACAACCAGCATCTGCGGAGCACATTCCATGTACCGTGCACTGTGCCAAATGCTTCACCTACATTATCGCGTTTCCCCTCAGCAACAACCTTAGGTGGTGGCAACAATTATGCTCCCCATCTTGTGGGTGTGGGAATGGAGGCTCTGAGAAGCTAATTGTGTTCCCAGGTCTCACAGTGAGAGGGAGGGCAGAGCTGGGATTCGAGGTCTGGCTGCCTTCAGAGCTCACACCGCACTGGCTCACCCAACCTTGGACACTGCCCTTCTCTGACCTCCGGGAGGCCTGGCTTTGGGCTCTTATTAAGAGAAGCTGCCTTTAGAGGGATAACTCTGGTACGACCCTGCCCTCTGTGGGCCTCAGTCTCTCCGTCTGATCAATGACACATGGCCCTGATTTCTAAGGGCTTTCCAAGCTCTGAAATTGTGGGGACATGACCAAGAAGAAATACGGTTCTGGAAACTTCCAGGAGTGTATGGCCAAAGGACAATGTGGTGGAAGCAGGGGGTCCTCCAGGAAAATGCTCAGAGCACTGTCCTCACCCGCTCGGAGCCTGCCCCAGGGCATACTGAGTCTCTTCACAGCAGGGCCAGGCAGACCAGGAGGTATTTGGGAGAAAGTCTTCGGAGGCTTGCCCTGATCACACATAACCCACCACCAGGCCTTGTGGGTTTGGCAAGAGACAGACAGAAAAGGTCCCCAGGAGCTGGCAGGAAGGGCTGACAGGGAGAGGGTGGGAGGTCATGAAGGAGTGAGAGACATTTTTTTTCCCCAGAGCTGCTGGATGTGACGTTGGGGATGAGGCCCAGCAAGAGAAAACTCTGGCTCAGCAGCCAGACCCGGGGGCCAGAAACCTTGTACGGCAAGAGCTGCCAGACCCGAGACTGGCTCATCCTTCAGACTGAACCAGACATGACCACAAGCTTAGCTGAGTAACCAGGAGACAAGGGCTCAGCTCCAAATGCTGAGCCCAACCCTAAACATTTCCAAGGCTCCCCTCCGCTCCCCACTGGGCCTGGTCCAGGCCCTTCGTTATGTGACCCCTGTCACCTCCTCAGGCTTCCACCACATTAAACATCCCTCGGTCCCTCAGACCCAGGCTCTTCCACGCCTCCGTACCTTTGCACATGCTCTTCTCTTGACATGGAACGCCCTTCTTCCCATTCCCTGCTTCTCTCTTACAGCTCTTCACCCCTTCTTCTGGGTCCTCAAGGCCCATGGTCATCTGTCACCTCAACTGCCCTGTCACCCTGCTTGCCTCCTGCTCTAAGTCACATGCTCCTTCAGGACAGGGACTGCGCCGGCTTGCCTCTACAGTCCCTGCGACAGGTCTGACGGGACAAGTGCCCTCTCGCAGGAGAGTGGCAGCTCCAAGCGGGTAGTCCTAGGATCGAGGCCAGCTCTACCCACACTCCCTGTGTGACGCCGGTGAGCTCCTGCCCCGAGCCCAGGTTTCTGCAGGTGTGAAACGGACTCAGTCAGAATCATCCTCCCCGCGAGGCTGTGAGGGGTGAGGTCAGAGAGAGCCCTGTGTACACTGTAAAGTGCTGCACGAGAGGACGTGATGACTGACCTATACGGACTTCAGAGTCCAACAGAGTCGAGGCATCCCTGCACAAGTCACGCCACCCTCTGAGCCACCTTTTACCACAAGGATGGCCATCCCCACACCCACAAAGTGCTCGGAAGGCATCCATCGACAAGGTCCGTAATGCACCTGCATGAGCAGAGTTGCTGAAGCAACAGCAGCTCTTGGTGTGAGCAGGGCAGTCTTGGCAGGTGTCCACGGGGAACACTCACCCACCACCGGGTCTGCGGGATTTTGTATTACGTGCTACCGTTTATTTATTTACAAATCCATCCGCCCAGCTAGGCTGTCTGCCCCAGAGACCTGCCCCATGGTGCCCGGCACAGAGCCTGGCACACAGCAGGTGCTCATTCAGGAGACAGAATAAGCAGAGGTGTCCTGGAGGAGGGCCCCCCACCCTCGGCCTCCCCAGCAGACTCTGCTGGGTGTGGCTGGGGAAGCTGCTTCTTTAAAAGCTTCCCAGGTGCTTCTGACGCATGCCGAGACTGAGCTCTGCTGGCCTGGAAGGTCTCTGGAGATTCTCCCAGCTGGAAGGCACTGGCCCAGTGCTCTGGCCCGCCACACCTGCTGACTCCTGGGGCTCCCTGCCTCCCCGAGGACTGCTACTGCGGTATTTCTAAAAGAGGCCTCCATTCAATGAAACTAGAAAAATAAAATAAAATAGGGGCTCCTGGCTGGCTCAGTTGGTAAAGCATACAACTCTCGATCTTGGGGTTGTGAGTTCGGGCCTCATGTTGGGTACAGACATTACTTAAAAAAATAAAATCTTGGGGCACCTGGGTGGCTCAGTCAGTTAAGCGACCGACTTCAGCTCGATCTCACGGTTCGTGGGTTCGAGACCCACATCAGGCTCTGCACTGACAGCGAACTCTGATTCAGTCTTCAGGCCTGTGGGCAGATGTTGCCTTTCTCTGGAAAGTCCTCCTGAGTTGTGCCCCCACTCTCCAGCTCCCTGGCCTCCCCCATTAGTTTCATCACGCTGCGTTGTGCTTTCCTTGCAGGCTGTGGCCCCCACAGAGCAAGAACCATGCTCTCTGCTCATCTCTATGCTTCTGGCAACTGAGTCAGGGCTGCCGGGCAAAGTCAGTGCATAGTAAACATCAGTTGAATGAATGAGGAAGCGTACAGGTTCCCATCTGGGCTCTGGGACCTGGAGCAAGCCAGGCCTCAATTTCTCCACCCCTAAAACAAGGGGCTGTCCTAGGACAGAGGCAAGGCTCACTGACAGGTGTCTTGGCACTGAGGGAGGTGGGCTTTCTACCCACTCTGTGGTTTCACCTGGAGCACTCTATCTACTTTTATCTGTGTTATGAAAATAAATTTTTTTATGAAGCTTTCAAGCCACTGGCTGGGGGATACCTAAGCATCCTTCTGGCTGTTCAGTCCTGATGCTTGAGATAACCAGAGATCCCAGTTCCACAAAGGAGGCCCTGCCTGTTGGCCAACATCACCCACTGGTGTGCTATCCCAGGCCCCCCTAAGATAGGGGTATCCATGCCTAACAGACAGGGATAAAAAGGAGAAAGGAGGAGGGACGGGTGTTAGGGTGGGATACAGGGTGGTGTGTGACATAAGCCTTTCCTGGAACCACAAGGTTTGAGCAAAGTAGCTAAATTCACAAATCTGAAAAAAAGAAGGCCAATTATTGGTGGGAGGCTATGAGGAGGCCTGGAGTGGCTGCACACATAGAACGCGCCGCTCAAGTGACCACCTCGGGGGGGCCAGGCCGGGGGGGGGGGTGTGGCTGGAATATGCTGGCCAGAGAGACAGAGCAGCATGGGGCCTCCTGAAATCCATCCCCAGCAGGAAGGCTCTCACCCACCATACCCAGCCCGGCTCCATTTACCTTCTCACCCCGGTTGGAAAGCGGCCCATCCATATCGGCTTTGAGGTGGACGGGGGGTGCGGTGTAAGGCAGCCGGCAGTGCACCTGCCCGCACTGTACCTGACCTGTGGACGAAAGGATGCGTTGGAGCCCATCTGGCAGCCTCTATGCAGGAGCCCATGTGCCCCGTGCTCAGTGGGCTGGAGCCCTGCAACCAGTGTCACTCTGGCCACTTACCAGCTCTGTGTGGCCCTGGGCCAAACTTCAATAGAGTGGTTGTAATGTCCTGTGTGAAAATCTGTAAAGTGCTATGTTATAACTGACCAGCTCACTGATAAACAAACACTCCTAAATGGATATGTATTTAACATCTATATATAGGCCGTACCCCATTATTAGGATCCTCCCTTGGTGCTTTGTACCTTCTTATTTCCCAGGTGTCACTCAGCCTTTCCCCATGTACCTCCTAGAGGACCCTGCCCTTGTATGTCACCTTCTTAATGATGCTGTCCCTGACCACCCTATTTATAACTGCACTCACCTCTACCCTCCCTCTCCTCCTTCCCAGCTTTACTTCTCCTCCTTAGCACTTACCATCATCTGACTGACTGTATATACCTATTATTTCCTTGGCATTATCTGTCTTTGCCAACCAGGATGCAAGGTCTAATGAGGGCAGGAATTTTTGTCTGACTCTACGATCTTCCAGACTCTAGATCCTGATGGGTTTCCAGTACCTAAAATGAGGCATGACATCCAGTAGGTACTCTTTGAGTATTTGTGCCATGAATCTCTGTGTCTTATTCCAAAATCTAAAACTGTGGGGGAAAGTCCACCCTCATATCTGACCCAAACCTCTCATGTTTCAGTGCTTTACCACTACAGTGGAGAAATCCATGGCCTCTCTTGTCCCCACACTTCTTCCTCTTTGGCGCAGGGGGAAAAGCCCTGTACAGAGACTTAACAATTCATATGTAACATAGGACAAGTCACTGTGCCTTTCTGAGCCACAGTGCCCTCATCTGTAGAATAAGGCAGGTGTATAAGATTAGGGATCCTTAATGCAGGGTGTTCTAGAAGTCCACAAACAGTCGTTTTCACATGGAAAATGATGTGTGCACGGGCATCTTTCTGGGTTCCACTTCCAAAGCTTTTTATCAGATTCCAAGCTCTAAGACCCCAGGAAACTCAGACATGTGTGATTTTGTTAATAGCAAAGCAAACTGCTGAGGTTGTCCTTCGGTCATGCAGCAAAAAGCAGCAGGTCCAAATACCCCGAGGTGGGTTCCACCTCAAGGGGAAGAGGAAAGGGGACCTCAGCCCCTTCTCAGAACGACAAAGACATATGTAGGCTTAACTGACAAAGTATGTAGGGAGTCCTTCCAGGACTGTGGCCCCACTTCCAAGAGAGTCATCTAGATCCCTTACCAACCCCGTAGCAAGCGCTAGCCGGTAGCCCAGTCCCTGCCCTGGTCTTTGGCGCCTTTAACAGATGAACTAGCTGTTCAGTGGGCTCTGTGCAGCCTGAACATAAGTCATTGTTTAGAAAAGAAAGGAAGAAAAGTCCCTCCTACAGAGCAGATGGTTCAGAAATGGAACAGTGCAAAGAGACGTGGTTTCCAACAGACCACCTGGTGCGGTAGGCAGGATTCTGCATTGCCAGCTGTGCCAGCCAGAACCACCACCATTACAAGAGCAGTGAATATTTATCCAGCAGCTACTGAATGCCGGAGACTTGAAGTCAGTGATCTCATCTGATGTTCACACGCTGCTCTGAGAGAAGTATCCTTATTGTCCTTGTTTTTACAGATGAGGACATTGGTATTCAGGGAAGCTAAGAAGCTTGCCTGATGTCACACAGCTAGTTGGTGGCAGGGATGGCATTAGAAGCCTGACCGTCTCACCCCAAAGCCCACAATCAACCATTAAGGAATATTGGCTCCCGTTAACTTACTGTGGACCCTTGGTTTTCTCCTCTGCACAATGAGAGAGGGATGTCTGATATTTACAAACAGGCTTAGTATAGTGTTTGGCACATGGCCGAGGCTTGGTAAACAGCAGGGCTCTCTCCGACCCCTCCTTCTCTTTCAACTTTACTTGGAGACAGAGAAGGGAGGATTCATGTTTGTGGGTATGTTGTGGCCACTTCTGTTTTCCTGGTCATGCCCAGCTTTGAGGAAACAAACAAGCTCAACGGGAATGGAAATCTGTAATAAGCACCTGCTCCATAGCAGTCACTGAATGTTCATCCCCCAGAAATCCATAAGGCTACTCCCTCTCTCCTCCAGGTCCCTGCTCAAAGGTCACTCCACCACAGCCCACTCCATCCTTCCCATGGCATCCAGTCCCCACTGGCACGCCAGCCTTCCCTCCTTTATTAGTTGATTGTCTCTCCACCCATGTCCTGCTCCGGCATGTGAGCCCCAGGAGCACACAGAGTTTGACTATTGTGTTCTCCGCTGTATCCCAGCGCTTAGCACAGAAAGCACTCAGAAAGTATTTACTGAACACACGAGTGGACCCTCAGAACCCTGTGAGGTGAGCATTACTAGTGTCTCCGTTTACAGATGAGGATACTGAAGTTCAAGGAGGGTGGATGGGGATACTCCCGCCACACTGGCCTTCTTCTGCAGCCGCAGACACACCCATGCCACGACGCTTTCCGGGCTAACGCCTGCCTGCATTCAGCTCCTCTGCTGCCCAGCACTCCTGCCTCCCCTCTCCTGGTGTCTCATGAGTTCCTACCCATCCTTCCAGGCTCAGCTTGCTCAGAGGCGGCATCCCCGCATGCTCGCACCCAGCACCGTTCCTATAGCAATCATCACACAACTAAAACCACACACTCATCTGTCTGGTTACCATGCTGTTTTGTCTCTCCCACTAGAATGCAGGTTTCACCAGGGCAAAGACTTTACCCATCTTGTTCTCTCCCTAGTCCATGGGACCTGGCACACAGTGGATACTTGGAAAGTATTTTCTGAATGGTAGAATGGGTTTTCTCTACGAAGGGTCCCGTCTCACTAAGGCAGAGACCGGAAACGTAGCCCCTCTCCCCAAGCCCTAGGTCCGAGGGACCGCAGACCCCACGTCTTCACCCACCAGGCTCCGAAAGGCCTTCACCCACCACGCTTGCACCTCCCGCGCGCGCTCCTCCGTGACCCCTCGCCCGCAGGCTAGGCGGCCTAGCTGTGGCGGTCACTTACTCTCAATGTAGCCGTGCAGGGTGACCATGCGCGCCCGCTCGGGGCTGCTGAACGGGGAGTAGTGGATGTCGTCGGACAGGGCGGAAGGGAGGCGGGACGGCGGCGCCCCGGAGGGCGGCACGGGATGCTGCGGTGTGTGCTTTTTATGACGCGCCCGGCAGTTTTGAAACCACACCTGGAACGACAGCCTCAGCAGCCTCAGCCTCACGGAAAAGGGTCGGACAGCTTCGTCGCCTCCTGGGTAAGGGCGGCCACGTGCAACCGGGCCTGCGGCTCCTCTGCATCCCAGCTACCCGCTGGAGCGCCCGCCCCCGGCCCCTTAGGCCCCGCCCCGGACCCGAAGGCCCCGCCCTCCCTCGGCCCCACCTGGATGACCCTCCGGCTGAGGCCCGTCATGTCGGCAAGCTTCTGCAGCGTCTGTGCGTCGGGGTTGTTGTCCTGCGCGAACTGCGCCTGCATAACCTGCGGGGAGCAAAGGGGGCAGTGAGACAGGAACGCGCGGAGGTCTCCCAGACCCCGGCCCAATCAGAGGCTCCGGCCCGGAGGCCACGCCCCAGACAGCCACGGCCCCTCCCCGTCACCCGCAGGTCTGGGCAGAGGGGGCGGGGCCAGAGGCCCTCTCGGCTCCGCCCACGTCCGGGCCCCGCCCACAGCCTCGGCCACTCGCGGCCGGCCCGGGTACCTGCAACTGCTCGGCGGTGAAGGACGTCCGCGCGCGCTTGGCCGGCTTGGGCTGACTGTCCTGTTCCGAGGGCACTGCCCCCTCCAGCGTGAGGCCGTTCCCTGGGGGTGACAGAAGTGGCTGACCACGCGTCCCCATCTCTTCTAGTGGCATCCTGGAAAGGACGGGGGTGGGGGCAGCTGGTCCCTGGAAGGGTCAGGAGCGGAGTTGGCTGGGAGCGGGGATCCCAGAGTTCTAGTCCCTGAGCTCTGTCTTTAGGTAAAGGGGCTTTCATTTCTGAGCGTCTGCTCAGTACCAGACACTGCTCTTGCCCTGTGCCTTTTGTGTCTGTCTGTCTCACAGTCCCATTTTACAGCAGAGGAAAGAAACTAAAGCTCAAAGAGAAGAAAAGCCCTGACAAAGACCTTTCCGTCTAGTGGCTGACCCTAGCGCCCCAAGCTGAACTCCCTCTGAGCTAAACTGGGGAAACCAAGGGCCAGTGGACGTAAGATGCAAGCAGGTTACAGAACTGCGGTTCGAATTTTGAAAAAAAAATGTATGGAAGCAAAAAAGTTGAAAGGATAAACGCCAAGGTGCTAGCAGTGGTTACTTCTGAAGAGTGCAGTCATGACTCTACTGCAATATTTCTGTAATTTCTGAGGTTTTTACAACAATCACATGTCACTTTATTTCTCCAAGGTTTAATTTTGTTCACTGGAGCATAGGTTAGCCATTCTCTTTCTACTTCTATTACTTTTACAATCACACTAAATATATTCCCATTTTATTTTTAATACCTCATTTTTTCTAGGTAATACATGCTCCTTCTCAAAAACTCAGAAAATTCAGATAAGCACAAAGAAGAAAATAAAAATCACCAGTAATTCCACTACTGTTCACACAACTAGTTGTACTTTTTTTTAATTAGGAAAAACACTATGTCTGGGGGGGGGAACAAACATGCCACCATACATACATAGGAGGAAAATCTGGGAAGGTAGACACTAAAATATGAGAGGTGGTGACATTTAGAGTGATCTTTATTTTCTTCTTTTTGCTTAGCCATCTTTTCTAAATTTTCTATGATGGGCGGGTGTGTTTTAAGTTTAAAAGAAAAAAAGTAACTGAAACTGAGGATTGCTCAGTAGAGGAGATCTGAGTCTGGGGTCGGCCTACATGTGAGAGTTAGAGCTGTAACTTTGCCAGGCTGTGGGTAGGGGTGGTCCTGACTGGTCCAGATGTGGAAGAAGCCTGGGGTCACTGATGGGCCATAGTGTAGGGGGAGCCCAGCCTCCTGAGATTCCATCCCAGCGCCACTGCTGACTTGCCCGCCACTGCGGGTAATTTCCTACAACCCCAGGCTCACTTGCTTCCCATTTAGACCCACTTAGTCCTGGTCCTGGCAAGAGAAAGTGATAGCCTTGGTGTGGCCACAGTTTGGAACATTCTGAGGATTCCTGACTAGTCCCCAGGCTAGAAATTGAGGCAGGGTGGTCCACACACCTCCCGAGAGGCCCCGAGGATGGGACAGACACTCTGTGGTTTTAATGTTCCATCGGAGAGCAGGCAGAACAAGGATTGCTGTGCTATCTTTCCAATGGGAAAATGAAACTTAGAGGGGCAGCCGCATCCCAGCAGCCTCCTTTGCTTAATGAGGTCTGATTAAGGGGTCCCTGGAACTTTGGAATGGGGTAGTATGGTATGGTGCTTAAAAGCCTGGGCTTTGGAGTTAAGCAGACCTTCTAGGATGTAACCTTTGGCAAATCACATACCGAAGATAACCTCTGCCTGTTTCCTCATCTGTAAAATGGGGACACATCAGCTACTTCCGAGGGTTTTTTGTAAGGATGACACAAAATAATCCACATTACAGGGAAGCTAGCAGCTTCCAAAGACCCGGACAGGAAAACCATAGAAAGGGTCCCTGACTGCCTTCAGCCAGCCTCCATTCTTCCCCACTTTCTAGCCACTGACCCATTTGTGACTCAGTCCTCATAGTCCCTGGAAGGTATGAACCCTGTCTGCAGGCCTGTGTGTCTTGAGGAAACAAATCAGTATTGGAGCCAGAAGAGATTTAGGGATCTTTCTAGTTGACCCATCTCTCTTTGCACAGTTGGGGAGACTGAGGCCCAGATAAGAAAGGAAACTTCATATAGAAGTACAGCATGCCAGAAGCAAAACTGGAGCTCAGGTCTCCAGACTCAAAGGCCTTTTCCCTCCCAGTGTAGGATGAAACCCCCCACCTAAACTTCTGGTTTGGAGCTGCTGGCGTGGGATGGGAGAACAGAGTCGCATCATCTCACTAGGACTGGCTTGTGCCCAGTTCCAGGCAGCCTGAAGGGATCAGCCCTCAGGCCAACCGGAACTGTCTAAAAGGGGAGTAGGCTGTCCCATTGTGAGAATCAGCTCTAGGGTTCAGTGAGTGCCTCCTGCCTTTACAGCACATGGACTCATCTGTCTTTGAGAAGGTGTCTTATCATGAGCTCCATTTTACAGATGAGGAAACAGCTGCAGAGACAGACTACCGCTTCAGATTCCCAAGCAAATGGTGGGCCAAGAGCGCATGCCCCGAGCGCAGCCCCACCTACTCAGCCTCTAGGCGATAAAGGGAGCGCCTGCTTCCAGAGCAGTGTGGTCAGTTCCTGGGGTGCTGGGCTGGGGTGGGAGAGGGCTGGGCACAGAGGTGTGGCAGGGTGCTGGGTGGGGCGGGTTGGGTACCGTTCTCGGCGGCCCTCTTGAGGTTCTCGATCATGGTGTCGTAGTGGATGCGGCACAGCACCTTCTCTTCGACCAGACCAAACTCCTCGCCCGTGGACAGCTGGCGCTTGCACGAAAAGCACGCGAAGCAGGCCAGATGGTAGGCGTTGCCGCGTGCCCGCCGCACCCAGTCGCTGGCATAGATCTGTCGGCCGCACCGTGCACACTTGGTCCCAAATCGGCTGCGGGACACCGGGGCAGGAAATGGGGTGGCGAGGCTCAGACAGGCTACCCCTTCCCCCTCCCAGTGGCCCGCCAGCACGTTGTCTCCTGGCCTTTGCTCACTCACAAATTTCCCTTTGCCTGGATCTACCCCATACTCCACCTCCCTGCAGACACCTGCTTACTCTGAAGGTGAGCTGGTGGGTGGTTTTATTTTCTTCTTAGTGCTTTTCTGAGTCTTCCAAATTTTCTACAATGACTCCTTATATTCATATATAACTAATCTCTTCACTCCAATATATCTTAAGTGTTACGGAAAACATAATAATATAATAACAGGCAAAATTTTGGGCACTTACCACGTGCCCAGCAAGATTCTAAGTGTTTTATGTTGATTATCCCAACTAATCTTCATTTTGCCAGTGAGAAAAATGGGGGACCAGAGAGGTAAAGTAAGTTGCATAAGGTCACACAGCTTGCAAGGATAGAAACCCAAGATGAATAAACTGTACCCCAGCTGTAGAGATCCTCAGGGTTTCTTGGAAGCATAGAAAGATATGCACTTACTGGCTTTGTGCCCTTGAGTAAACTGTTTAACCCCTCTTAGTTCTCACTTTCCTCGCCCTGAGCTGAACTAGGTGATCACAGCAATGACTACTGCTTAGTACTTTACAGTCTCTTACGTGCCCATCCAGTCCCAGACTCTGGAGCCCGTGGCATTCTAACAGTAAATGTTAAAAAGACAAAAGGAGGGGGCAGACCGAATGCCTCCTCCCCCTTAAGCCTTCCTTGTCCGGCCTTCCCCCCCATCTTCTCCCCCTTCATGGTGCAGCTATTTGGGTATGGCTCCCTCCACCACCAGACTGCGAGCCCCTCCAAGAAGCAGCAGGAGCCTGGTTTACCCTGTCCCAGAAGTCAGCCCAAGGCCTGACCCCTCAGCACCTGGGAAGGTTTGTTCCTTAAGTAGATGACTCACCCTTTGACCCTGCCCCAGTCCTTTAAGCCTCAGTTTCCTCTGCTGCACACTCTTTCAGGGGATGATGTTACCAATCATCCAGAGCCCCAAGCTTGGAAACCTAAATCATTCACTCCTCTCGTTCCTCAAACCTACATCTAACCGATCATCGGGCACTGTTGGTTCTTTTTTCTAAGTATCTTTGGGATCCATTTCCTCTCCAGTCCCACAGCTGCCCTCCTAGGCCAGTATCTGCCCTGATTCCTGCTTCCAGACCCACCCCTGCCAACCACTCCTCCACGCAGTGGCCATGGCGAAGTTTCCAGCACGCGCAGCAAATCCTGTCCTGCCCTGCTTAAAACCCTTTGCTGATTCCACTCTACCCCTCAGGATCTGGTCCAAGATCCTTGGCATTTACAAAGCCCAGCGGACCATAACCTCTTAAACTCATCTCCTCCCTGACTTTCCCCACCCCACATCCAAACAGGAGTCCCAGGCAGCCACAGTGGAAGGTCAGTGCCAGGTCTCCATGGCCCCCTCTTTAGCACTTTCCCAGCCCAGGCCTTTGCACAGACTTTGTGCTCTTCACACCTCCTCCCTCCCTGCAGAGTCCTCCAGTCCCGGCATCACGCTGTCTACACTGGTCAGACAGGCTTGTAAATGTCAGATTCTTTGGCTCTCCCTCCCACCCCCAGCAGTCCTGGGAGAGGACCAAGAAGATTTGCCTCTGTGTCCCCAGGGCCCGCACACTTGCACCCGGAGGAGCGTTGGGAAACCCTTGCGACTTGTGTGGAGAAAACAGCCCAGCAAATACTTTCTGGTTACAGCCTCACTTGGCCTTGCCAAACTCAAGCAACTGTCAATTGAATAAACGATCTTGGGTTGACCTGAAAGAGGGAGCGCGGGGGCCTCGGCCAGCCCGGCTCCCAGACGTAACTCTAACGCCACTGTCTCTGGCCAGGACCGCAGGGGGACCCTGTCGCTGGCAGTGCCGTTTGCTAAGCCAGGCTGCACTGTGCGCCTTTGCTGGATCAACCGCCCCCTAAACTGAGGCGGCTCCCGACCTCGGAAACTCGGCTTCCCCAGGGGACAGCCTAGTACAGCCCGCGGTTTCTTTCCCAATTCCTCAGCAAAGGGGAGAGGAAACCGCTTAGCCCACCCCTGCCTACTCTCGCCGCCGGGCGGACTAGGGGTTCCGCTGCCGGACTCGTTCGCGGATTAGGAGCACTTTCCGGCCTTGGAGAGGAGGCAGCTGCCAGCAGTGTGCAGAGCCCTTAAAGCGCTCCAGGGACCCAGGGCGCACCGTCTTCACCGCACACCTTCGACTTTGCGCAACCGCGTTAGTGGAGACTCCAGCACCCACTTTGCACACGTGGAGTTGGACGTTCAGAGAGAACGAGTGACTTGCCCAAGATCACAAAGACCTGGGCTGGGATCAGGTCCGCTCTGAGGTGCAAAAGGAACCTAGAACCCGTGAAGGCAGCAGGGCGGGAGATGTTAGGGACTGGATCCCAGGTGTATTAACTGGAAAAGGGCCTGGTCTTACCCCGTCGCGTCCCGACTCCCAGCCACGGGTCCCAGAAAGTCCCGCGCGTAGGGCCTGAGGCCCAGCGGACTCGGGAAGGCAGAGAGTGCGTTCCCAGGGAGAAGGGAGACCCGGAGAAGGGAAGGTCCCCGGCCTTCAGACTCCGGGTGACAGCGGCTGCGTCTCCAGCCTGTGGTCTCCGTGCGCCCCTACCCTTGAGCTGCGCCCGAGTAGCCGACCTCGCACGAGGCCGTGCGGGATTCCTGGTCCTCTGCCAGAGATGCGTCCCAGACACCCCGAGCAGCCCGGATCTTCCGCCCCACAAGTCCGCAACGCCCGGGCGCTGTGAGCGCCTACACTGCACGCCCCTTACTCCGAGGAGGACGCCGCGAGTGATCTCTCAAGCAACTTTCTCACCCTCCACAAGTCACCCCAAATGACAAGAGCTGCCCCAGCCCTAGGATCTCCCCGCGCTCGCCGTCGCTCGACCCGGTCAACGAAATCACCTTTGCGAAGGATCCGTGGGTTGGAGTGGGGGGTCATTATGCAGTTTTGGGTGCGCTGCGGATCTCCCCGAAACGTCTCCTCCACCCAGGGCAGGGGTCAATGGCACAAACAAGGGGGCACGAGGAGGCTTACGGATCGAGGCTCTGACAAACCGACAGACTCCTTCCCAGGCGGGCAGCGAGGCCCGAGCCGCGGGATTCCGGAAGCAGCGAAATCGGCGGCGAGACAACGAAACTTCAAGAATGGGGTGTTCGGGAGCTGCGAAGGGAGCGCCAAAGGGATTAGGGGGCGCGGCTACCGCCCCTCCACCCCCAGCCTTGTGCGCACGCCTCCCTGGGTCCCGGCGCGCACCGTGGGGTAAAGGCTCCAAGGACTGAGGCGCTTTGGGCATGGACGCTTCGCATCCTAGCAGCTGCCGAAAGGAGGGAGGTGGGCATCGCGCATCTCCTTGCCCTCCCTCCCGGGAGTAGGGACCAGAGACATCTGGGCACTCGTGGTTGTGCAGAGGGAGCTGTGCGCCCTAGACCAGGTCAGACTCACTCTTCTGGCCTACTTCCTCTGGATACCGAGAGGTTGGATGAATGAGCCTCAACGAAAGAGCCCTTCCCCCGTATTAAGCTTCCCGAAGCTAAACCGAAGCTCAAGTGGGAAGTCCAATGTTAGTTACGAAGCTGCTGAGCCGATGGGGAATCCCACACCAGAATTCAATTATTTTACGTTCAGGACACTCACTTGATGGCCCTGGAGAGATTCTAAGAGGCAAACAAGGTGGATTGGAGGTGGAGCCCTTCCTATGCCCTCTGCTCCTTCCCTTCTAGGCAAACTCTTAGAAGAAGAAGCCAGGAAAAACAGAACCAGCAATTACGAGGTTAAAACGCCCCGCGCCTCGGAGGTCCCGGCCCTAGGCCCCTCCCCAGAACTCCTCTCTCCGCTCCCCCAACATCTGTCCCCCAACAGCTGGCGGCCGCTGGGCCGCTCTCTGCCGCGGTGGGGGGCCGCTTCCCAGCTCTGAGCCTCCCTGGGGACCCTCGCTCGGGGGGGGGGGGGGGGGGGGGGGGGGGGGGGAGGGGGGAGGTTTCTCCCGCTGGAGCCCGCGGTTGGAGCTTGGGCTCTAGGAGGAAGGCCAGAGAAGGCTGAGGGCTTGCCCTAAGTCACAGGGGCCAAGCCAGGGACAGGAACTTCAGCCGGCTGCCCGCTGGCCCGGCCCAGGACACTCGCCGAACCCCACCCTTATCAACGCCAGGAGCAGTAATTAACCCTTTATTCCCCACTCCAATGGGCAGGAGCAGAAAGGCCCGGAACCCTGGTGACCTGATCCTGACAAAGTTGATCTAGTCACAGCCTCTGAGGAGTGCTGTGCTACCAGGGCCCACCCAGGGAGTCACACACCAGAGAGGGTGCTCTTTGTGTGGAGCCAGTGGAACTGGGCATAGGGTTTAGGGACCAGGAGAGAGGGGTCTTTGCCATTCGACAGACCACACCTTGTAGAGAGCTGCTGCTGACCTATCCCACCCATAAAAGACCAGTACTGAATGTTTAGACACAGGGATGGTGGCGTCCGCAGCTGTGGGGCTTACCCAGCCTCTGCCACTTCCTAGCTGCATGACCTCAGCTCTCAGGACCTCAGTTTCCCCTCCTCTAATGTGGGGATTATGAGAGCATCATAATCCCTGGTGGACTTGAGGATTCACTGGGATAAGGCATGCACCCGGTTAACAGGTCCTGGCTGGAGCAGAGCCCTGCATATTCCAGTAGGCGGTATCCTCACCCCTGCCCACCCCCTCTTACACTCTCTCACTATGTGACCCTGGGCTCCACTTCCCTCTCTCCCAGGACATCAGTCTCCCCAGCCATGCAATGGGCATGATGCTTCAGGAGGCTGAAGGGGAAGGCACTGCAGATTAGTCCATGCCCTGTTTGGGAGGCAGCAGCAGCGGCAGGTCAGTGGTGATTGGTGGGGGGTAGGGGTGAGGGGAGGGGAGGAGGTAGAGAAAGCTGTCTGAGGTTGTGGTTGCTCACGGCAGTGGAGATATGAATGGCCCAGGAAGGAACACTAGTTTTCCCCCATGACTTTTCTTCACTTCTTGGAAGAAAATAGAAAAAAACAGTCTTAACCAAAAAAGTGAGGAAATTAAAAGCAATATCGTATTTCCCTGGTGGTAATTTTTTTTTCCTGCTAGGGCTCAGGGAGTGAGGGTTGCTGGGAATCTGACTGAAGCCACAAGGGCTGCTGAGGTCCTTCTTTGGAGAAAGAGTTGGAGAAACTGAGGCAGAGAGGGCTAGCAGTCTTGCCAAAGGCATCCTCCATGCTCTGCAGCCTCCTTCTCTGGTCAGTTTGGACGGCTTTCCTAACTCTGACTTCCTGAGTCACCAACACCAGGCTCTGCCAAGGGAGACTATGGCGGGGGTGGGGGGTACCAAGGAGGGGCAAGATGAGAGACAGAAAAGAGGAGAAACCCTCCTCTGAGGGATAATACCAGAGGGAAGAGGACCATGGAAGCCCCTTTGTGTCCCCTCCATGGCCCCTCTTGGCCACTTCCTCCCTCCCTCTGTCCTACTGAGAGATCCTGGCCTCTCTTTGGGCAGAATGCTCCAGTCCATGTTCCACCAGACCCTTGACCTTGGGCTTCAGGAAGCAGAGGGCTGGGGCAACTTGGTGCACGGCCTCTCCCTTGAGCCCCAGCTCTTGAGGAAGAGGTCTGCCTCCCACGCCACCCCAGGAAAAGCTCCCTTGCAGCAACCGCCCAGAGCCTGGACTGCTGCTGAGAGCTGACCACGTCTGGCGCTCCACGGCTTTTTCTTTCCTTTTTTTGTGGGTTTTATGACTTTTGTTACAGGTGGCACAGCCAGGGATGGGTTATGCCTGCAGGGAGACTTGGCTGGGACAGAAATGCTCAGGAGAGCCCCAATTCTTCCCACATCCCAAGGAATGTGAGCTTTTATCCCGTCTATTTTCTTAACCCAAAATCTGTTTTAGTTTTGCTTTGGCTCTTGTCACTGGAAAAGGATTAGCGCTCAGAACCTGCAACCCAGAAATGGCCTGGCCCCATCCTTCCAGACAAGCCCCGCTCCTCAGACTCTGCCAGAGGAAGTGCCATCAGGGGACTGTGCCCAGCATCCACTCTGCCAGTGGTGACAATGGTGATAAGCCAGGCGTCCGTAGCACCTGCCATTTAGGGAGGCTCTACGGAGGCTTTCTCCCTGCAGCTCAGACAGACAATCCTGGAGGTTGGACACTGAGAGCAGAGGGAGGTAGTCACTTGCCCAAGTTCACATGGTGATTCAGTGTTGACCTACAGAGCCCAGTTACTGCCTGTACTCACATTAGCCACACATCCCACCACCGCACAAGGAAGAGGGACTTCAGAGCCAGTGGAGGCTCTGAACAGTTGGGTAGGGATCTAAATTTTGACTCTTTAAAGGTCGTATAAAGCACAGTGTCCAAGAAGTCTCGATGCCAGCCTGGGCACGAGCTGAGGCTGGCGAAACAGCGAGGAAACATAGACAAGTGGTTTTTAAGGCTGCCAGGTCCACCATCGCTGGGAGGGCCAGGAGAGGAACCCAGCCCTGCCTTACTCTGCGGAAGGAGGCTGAGACACCACCCTGCTAAGTGCCCCAGGCCGGAGCCCTGTTCCTGGCCAGCTGATGAGCCCAATGAGCCCTCAAACAGCAGGTGGCTTGGTTTTTGGTTTTTCTTATTTGTTTGTTCTGTTTTTAACCAAATGGAGTCAGGCACAGAGCAGGGATGTGGCAAGACAGGGACTTGAACCTTCCTTTCCTGCCTGGCTAGCCAGCAGTCGGATGGGACAGCACAGACCTCATGCTCTGGTGATATGACACACAATGATCACCCCCTCTGACGCACACATGTAGCAGTCCACACGCACAAACCCACATTCACATCACACCCTCGGCTCCTCAATGCCAGGGTTAGGGCCTTAAGCAGTAATGCTCCCTCAGAGAAGGGGAAGTGTGGTGGGAATGATGAGATTTCTGAATTCTTGCCCTGTCACCTCCGGGTCCCTGTCCAGATGTAATCTTGTCTTGACTACCTTGCGTGTGCACGGGCACACACACACACACACACATGCAAAGTCCCAACATTCACACAGAGACCCACACTTTTGACACACATATAAACTAAAAGACAAATACTTGTCATAAAGGAATGTACACACTGTCCTCATTACCCCCACCTTGTTCAGCGACACATTCCCCCAGTGCCACTGCACAGATCCGGACAGCAGAGACACACATACACTCCTTGCATGCTGAGTCCCAGGCCGCCTGGTGGAGCTCCCCTCTCCCAGTGCACACTCCAGCTTCAATAATCGTTCACATCTACACACAAAGGAAGAGTCCACTTCTGGAATCAGGCTTCCTATGGTTTCCCCAGAGCACTCCAGCCCCAAACGCTGCAGACTTCACCCTAGACTCAAGATCCTCTCTTTCCAAGTGCCAAGGAGACTCAAAACCATGGGGAAGGGGGCAGGAATTACCTGCCACCACTTTCCTTGACTCTCAGGGCCAGGGGTCTTTTTCTGGGAAGCCTGAAGCCTCGACCTCCGCAGAGGCAAGGACGGAAAGGAGGTCTGTGGGCTAGGTGGCGGTTACAGGGGGCCAGCTGTCACCGCTTCCCGAGAAAGCCCTTGGGTACAGGCATCCCTCCCAGGAAACTGTCCCATTCCACTCTCCCCACTCCGTGGGCCTGGTGGCTCGGCCTCAGGTTAAGTTCTCGCTTCCGGCGAGGGGATCAGGCCACAGGCGGCTGTGCCCCTGACCTCGCTGTGACCTCTACCCCACGACCAGGGCAGGCCTGAGAACGTGGTTAGGAGCCAGGTGCCCGCAGGCGGCGGAGGCGGCGCTGCGGGCGGCTGAGCCTGGCTGCTACGGAGAGCGGCGCGGACGCGGCTCTGCAGCTCCGAGGGCCCAGCCCAGGCTAATCCTACTCGCGGCCCCGGCTGCGGTGCCCGACAACCCTGACGCCCCCGGCGGCTCAGAGTCAGAGCGAGCCCCGGCCGACAGAGGCTGAAACCTGGACCGAAACGACACCACAGCTGAGACTGAAAGAGGCGCCTGGGACTCAGGCAGGATCCCAGACGGGAAAGGGGACACTCGAACGACGCCAGGGTCTGAGTTGAGGCGGAGCCGGAGACAGAGGTTGGGGCTTAGGAAGAGGCGCGTGGATAGGAGAGCTGCGAGGCTGGTGCTTGGGGCCCGACCAGACCCAGCGCCAAGGGCAAAGCCGGAGCGGGAGTCGGGAGCCCGGCCCAGGGTCGGCCCCGGAGAGACGCCGGCGCGGCGGGAGTCGGAGTGGGGTTGGCACCCAGAGCCGAAGCGCACCGGAGGCGCAACCAGATCGCGTCTGGGATCGGAGCGGGTCGTGGCCAGAGCCCGGGACGTCAGAGCTCGACCGCGGCGCTTGAGGTCGGAGCTGGAGCCAGACACTCTGCGAGACGCGAGACGGAGCCAGGGACGCGACCCAAACCCAGTGGGCCGCAGGGACCGGAGGCGGGTCGCGGGACCGGACCTGTGCCTGCAGGGGCGCGCGGCCCGGAGCTGCTGTTTTGGGGGCGCTGAGAGCGGGCGGGCTGAGCCCGCGCGGCGCGCAGGGAGTGCACTCGGGTTCGCGACTCCGGAAGCCAGAGACCAAGCGCTGCCAAAGGGTCCTCCGTGCGCGCCAGGGGCCTGCCTCCGGCGACACTGCTGGCCCAGCGGCCGCAGCCTACCTGAAGTAGTCCATCTTGCAGAAGATTTCCTTGTTCTTGATGTAGCAGCTGTTCTGCTGCCTCAGCGACGTGCGACAAACGGAGCACTCGAGGCACCGCACGTGCCAGATGAGGTTGTTGACCTGGGGAGGGGGCGGAGGTAGGCGCCGGCTCAGCGCGGGCCTCTGGTCGCGCCGGGCCCCAGCATCCCCGGCCCCATTTGCTGAGATGGTCGCTGAAGGTCTGAAGGTGCGTAGGCTGCCCTACGTTCCTTCTGTAACAAGGACGCCTAGGAAGGTAGACACACACGCTTCCCAATTTTCAGACGGAGACCCGGGGGTGCAGAGACTCTTAAGATTTGCCCAACGCTGCACAGTCAGGCAGCGGCTGAGCCAGGATTAGGAATTTAGTGGACCTGGCGCCGACGTCGCCTCCCTGCAGTCCTCAGGGCTGCAACCCACACCCCCCGCCAACACACACGCAACACCCAGCCCCTGGCTCACCTTGAGGAGATACCGGTCCAGGATCTCGAGGCCGCAGCTGGAGCAGATGTTCTTGCCGGCGGACGGCACGGAGGAAGCGGCAGAAGGCGGTGAGCAGACAGACGGCGTGCTGGGTGTGCAAGGGGAGGCCTGACCGTCGTCCTTGTCTAGAGCGCCTGCCAAGGCCTCGGCGTCCGACTGAGCCTGCGGTCGGGGAGACAGGGAGAACCGCGCCTGAGCTGAGCGCCCAGCCGAGAGCCCGGGGCTGCTGCCGCCTCGGAGGACAGATCTGGGGCCCCCGCGCATCAACTGACAACGAAATTCTCCCGAGACGCCGCGCTATGGGCTACAGGATAGGAGTGGAAGGGCCTACTGGAAAGGAAGGGACGGCCCCCACTTTTAACCCGCGCGTCCCGGGTGCTGGGGACCGTCAAAGTCCACACTTCCGGCCGGAAAACCGAGGCTCAGAGAGGGGCGGCGCCCTCCCGCAGTGCCCCGGCGCGAGGGCCGCGGCTTCGGGGCCGGAAAGCCGGTCAAGGTCCCCAGGGCGGGACCGCCGGGGTACCGGGGGGTCGAAGGCAGGGCCGAGCGAACTCACCATGGCGGGCGGCGCGGTCCCTTCAAGGCAGCGGGTGGTCGCTTTGCAGCCGGACCCTGGCTGGGCCATCACCTGGGGGAGGGGGAGGGAACTCAGGCGGCGGCGGCGGCTGCAGAGCTGGCTCCGCGCAGCCTGAGCCCAGCGCCTCCCCGCGCCTGTTATATAAACCGGCGCGGAACAATGAGTCTTAACTTTGTAGTGGGCATTTAAAGCCCTTCCCCACAAAAGCGGTGTCTCTCTAATGAAGCAATTTGAATTTGGATTGGATTTTTTCCCTCTCTCTCCCCCTCTCCCTGCACTTAACCCGTGGCTCTTGAAGTAATCGCTTAGTTCCCTTGCAATCCAAGCCTCTGAGGGGGAAAAAAAACACGCGCACACACACAAACTACCTGCAATTAGAAATTGTCGTGAATGCCCAAGATAAGAGGTAGCCAGAGTGTCAATTCCAACTGTCAATCAGTGAGATCCATCAGGCCGCCCAAAGAATTGCAAATTTGATTTTTTAATGGTAGTAATTAAAAATCGAATTTTTTCTCCCTCCACCCACCCCCCCTTCCTCGCTCCCTTCTCCTCCTCTCGACACAAAATGCAAAAAGGAGAAAAGAGAGAAAGAAAGAAAATAAAAAGGAGATGGGGTGGGGGAGGTGTTTGAGGAAAATAAAACCCGGAGCGCTGGGAGCATCAGCCCTCCAGCCCAGCGCGCGCTGCGAAATTGATGCGGCGATATTGACACGAATTCAGGCGCCTTCCGAGGGCCCGTCGGAGGGAAACCCGGAGCAAAATGGGGGCCAGCTTCGGGGGGGAAATAGAGCCAAAAAGAGGAAACAGAGGCGTCCAAGAAGAGGAGAAAGCACCCTCCAGCCCCTCGGCGCGCCCGGGACCGGCCCCGCGTCGGGATTCTCAGCGTTGAGCCAGCACAGCCCCCGGCGCATCGGCGCTATCAGCGCCTATTCAGACGGACAATACCCGCCTCGCCTCCTCTTGATTCGCCTGTGTCTTTGCTAAATCGCTTTTTGAGAAATTCCTCCAACATTTGCATAATGTGTTCCCGCTTTCCGCGACCCCCCCTCCGCGCTCGCGCGCGCTCACACACTCACAGACACACACTCGCAGGCGCACCCCCGAACCCCTCCTCCCCGCGGCCGCCCGCCACCCGGCCCGGCCCCGCGGGGCCCCGGCCCCTGCCCCGGCCGCTGCCGGACGGCGGTCCGGGCCGCTCACCCGCGCGCGCGCGCTCGCTCGCTCACCTGGTCGGCGGCGGGGCCGCCCTCGGCCGGCAGCCGGCAGCCCTCGGGCAGCGCCGGGGCGGCGTTCTCATGCTTCCAGTACATGGGCCGGGGAGCGGCGGGCTCGGCGGGCACGCGGCGCGGAGAGCCGCGCGGAGCGGGGCCACGGCAGCAGCGCGAGCAGAGGCTGGAGCAGGAGAGCGGAGGCGCCGGCCCCGCCGCCCCGGGCCCGGCCCCAGCCCCCGCCCCCGGCCCGCGCGCAGCCCCGGCCTCCCCGGCTGCCGCCGCTGCCTCGCAAGAAGGTCCCGACAAACTTGGAGAGGCCCCCGCCCCCTCCTTCGCCTCCTCCCCCTCCCCCCCCTCCCGGTAGTCCTCCTCCTCCTCCTCCTCCTCCTCTCGCTGCTCGTCCCGCGCCCCCTCCAGCTGCGGCGGCCGCGCTGCCGCTGGAGCCCCGCTAGGTTCAAGATGAGTCATGCGTGACCAGTCCCCTCCCCGCCAAGGCAGAGCGAGACACACACAGCGAGGCAGCGACCCGGAGACACACGCACACAGACAGATGGACACACAGAACCTCAGAACTGCTGGCGGAGACTCAGACAGCTGACATACAAAGGCATCAGAACCCCTTTCCGCTCAGCTCTCCTACCGCCCCTCCCTCGGGGGGCACCCACAGCCCTCGGGCACAGCCCCACTCACAGGTACCAGAAGGACCCACGGTCCCACCTTGGACCGAGATGGATGCCGTATAGGGTCGCTCGTTATACTCTGTCCATGCAGTCCCCGTCCTGGTACGCCCGTGTCCATACTGATGGAAATGGTTACCTGTTCACATCATTTACAGGGGCACAAGGCATCCACACATATAATCTGCACAAATGCCTCGCTGGGTAACAACTGAATGGGATTGGGCTGGGTGGGGGTTGGTGGGGGGTTGTTTCTCCGCATTCTCCTGGGAGGGACTGCCTGGGATGTCCCTTTCCCTTCGGGATTTGCTGCGCCATCCCGTCTAATGCCTGCCTCACCTTCCGTAGGGTTCTACTGGGTGTCACAGAGGTGGGGAAGGCAGGGCGACCCAGGCACTTGGCTAGGAGGCAGAGCCCCTAAACACACATACACAAAACCCTTTGACTCCAGGCCAGAGCTTTACACACACCAGCACTCTACAGTATACACACACGAATGGACACTCACAGCCTCCAGCCCCTTTCTCCACATGAGCCTAGAGAGACACATGTAAATATGCAACATTTTTGGGAAAAAATACACACACTGAGACTTAGATTCAACCCTAGAGACAGCATGACACGCCACCTCCAAGCCATCACGCATTCCATTACACCCCTAATTGCCCTCATTTTCAAATATGCACCCCCACACAACTGTTTTTACACCGACAGGGCTCCAAACCCACGTAAAGCCTCCTGTCCTTTACTGATACCCACAGATACACACATTCCTACAGCTGGCCAAATAGCCAGCCATGTGTGGGCAGAAACCGTGTATATACCTCTGCAGATACAGGATTCCTAGTAGTTTCAGCCTCAGTCATGAACACACACAGGCACAAATGGCAGACAACGTCCTACTAAAGACCCACACCTGCGTCCCTGAAAGATACAAATACTGTTCCTTTACAGACACGAAGATACACAGAATCAGCTCCAGCCCCAGCCAATGGCATCTCCCACCCCCTCCTAGTCATTTACTGCTGGCAGACACGGAAATTCGGAGTGAAAAGTTTCTCTCTGAACCCTCCTCTTTTATGCAAAGAGCACCATGGCAATGTGCAAAGCTAGTGAGGTGTGTCATATACACACATGTGTATACCCGTGTACATATACGCATACACGTGTACCCTCAAGCATCCACATAATGTCAGATGAACAACTTCCTCCCCCTTGATTATCTTTTGATTTATTACCTCTTTGAGTAATAAACTCAGCTACTATATTATTCTCTTTAACCCTTGCAGCAACCCTACAAGGAGGCTGTTATTATACTTATTTTTTTTTTAAATGTTTACTTATGGGGGCGCCTGGGTGGCTTAGTCGGTTAGCCGTCTGACTTTCACTTAGGTCATGATCTCGCGGTTTGTGGGTTCGAGCCCCGCGTCGGGCTCTGTGCTGACTGCCAGCTCAGCGCCTGGAGCCTAGTTCCGAGTCTGTCTCTCCCTCTCTCTCTGACCCTCCCCTGCTCACGCTGTCTCTCTCTCTCTCTCTCCTAGAAATAAATAAAAAAAATATTTAAAAATAAAAAATAAAAAAAATAAAATGTTTACTTATTTATTTTTGAGGGGGTGAGAGAGCGAGAGCGCGAGGGGCAGAGAAAGAGAGAGAGAAAGTGCCAGTGGGGGGAGGGGCAGAGAGAGAGGGAGAGAGAATCCCAAGCAAGTTCCACACTGTCAGTGCGGAACCCCATGCAGGGCTCTATCCCACAAACTTCGAGATTATGACCTGAGCCAAAATCAAGAGTCAGACACTCAACTGACTGAGCCACCCAGGCACTCCTATACTGATGTTTTTAAATACCATCCATGCCTAACATGGAGCTCGAACTCACCACCCTGAGATCAAGAGTCACACACTCTTCCGACTGAGCCAGCCAGGCACCCCTATTATTATACTTACTTCATAGCTGAGGAAACAAGCTTACGGGAGCCCCATTTCCAGCTCTAGGACTCAGGCTCCAGAACCCAAACTCTTACCTACTGTGCAGTTCTGCTCCTGAATTCAGATTAGATGCTCAGAAAATCACTACTGGAATACGAGGCGTTAACCTCAAGAGTGAGAAACCAAGACTCTGGAGCCAGACTGCTGTGATGCCTGCCTTAGCATTGCCCCTTATCACTGGGTGACCCTGGACAAGGTATTCAGTCTCTCGTTCAGCCTCAACTTCCTCATCTGCGAGGTGGGGGTGACAACAGAGTCCACTTCTTAGGCTTGTGAAAATGGAGCAAATGATTCATGGAAAAGCAAATGTTCCTGTCACTACAGGGTGCACTGGCTACATTGTCCAGTTGTTATTCCACCAGATGCCATGTCAGTGTTTCTTGTTCATGGAAGACGGCAGGGCATAAATCAACCCAATAATCACATATTCTTCTGAATAACTTATCGAAGGGGGCTCCAGAGCCATTATTCCAACCCAAGGCTTGCCTGACTTCAAAAAGAACAGAAGTGAACTTAACTTTGGAAAAGAAACCTCTCTTCCAACAACTCCTGGCTCCAGCAGGGAAGAGTCCATATAGGAGTGACCTTGGCAAAATTAGGATTAGCAAATTCAGTGCATTGCTTTTGGATACTGGATTTCTTCCTACAGGAGACTCTGTGGGCAGGTCACTTGGCTTCTCTGAGCCTCAGTTTCCTTACTTGCAAAATAGAGATACCAACACTTATCTCTCAGGATTGTAGTGACAATTAACCATTTATTAAAAACCAATATTTTAAAAGCGTCGCCTCGGTTTCTGGCACTGTATAAATGCCTTACATGTATGATGTCATGGTAACCCGTATGTGTGATGTCGTCAGCATCGTGTATGTCCATCGTCAGAAGCATCCTGCAGGTATAATGTCATCTAGTCCTCACCTTATTCTTTCTCCTGCTCACTAAACAGGATGTAGTCATCTCAACCTCCGAGGTGAATTTTGCCATTCCCCTCCACCGGAGTCCAGATCCAAGGTTTGTGTTTAAAAAGAGGCTTCAATAGTAACTGGATAATTCATGGGAGCTCCCGCCGCCCCCCCCACCGCCCCCCAGCAGCGGTTCCGCCCCACTGGGGTGTAATTTTAGGAAGGTAATGTGAGCCGGGGGAGGCTAGCGACCCAGCTTCACATTTATTTACTCTGACAGCTAAATTGGTGAGCAAGGGGGGAAGTTAGATGAAAGCCATTGCAGAGTAAATACTGAGATTTAAACATTCAGGTTTGACAAATGGGAAATGAGCAACGGGAAGAGACACAGGCAGTACACCCTTGCCCAGCTCAGGACCCGGTCCTCACCTTGTCACCTTCCTGGGCATTTCCTGTTGGAGTAAAGACCACAGAGTGGGGTATGGACTGCTTGACCTGGGCAAGCGATTTGTCTCCCCTGGCCTCAGTGTCCTCATCAGGAAAATGTGTGCGTTGTTATTTGAATCAGCTCATTGGGGGAAGTGATGGAAAGAGCACTAGCCTTGGAGTCAGACGGATCCAAGGTCAGTCTCAGTCTGGCCACTTCCGGGCTGGGCTAACTCGGAAAAGTCACTTAACTTCACTGAACCTCATTTTTCTCACCTACTGGGATAATATCAACCTCAGAGGAGTAAATGAAATAATCAGTGTGAAAGAGCATTTTAGACGTCAAGTATACCGCAAGTGTGAGCAACCAAAGTCACCCGAAGCAGCAGGTAATAATAAAGCACTTACTCCTTGCCAGGCCAGGCACCGGAAACACAGAGTAAACCACCCTGGTCCTTGCCCACAAGGAGCCCAGGCTGTTGGGAGAGAAAACAGCTGGCGTCTGCAGTGTAACGTGACAGGTGCTACACAGTGGGTAGCCCAGAAGAAGGGGCATTTCAGCTGGCTTACAGGGTAGGCATGTCAGAAACGGTGTCCTGGAGGAGGTGACCTTTGAGTGAAGTCCTAAAGGGTGAGTGATTGTGATGCAGGACAGGCCTGAGTGGAGCTGGGTCAGGATGGAGAGTGGGTGCCCAGTGAGTGGTTTGCTAGAAGAAGCTGAGGGGGGTACAAGGAGCCAGACCATGGAGGGCTGAGTGCTGGGTGAGGAGTTTGGGTTCACCTTGAAAGTGATGCGTCCACCCGCCGAACTGCCCAGAAAACAGCATCCTGTCTCTGCAGGTGTGGTGTCCCACAATGGTTAGGGATGCTGGGTTTGGAGTCAGGTAGCCTGACTTGATACCTGACTCTAATATACACTGGTTGGGGGACCCAAGGCAAGTGACAAATCCTGTGAGCCTCAGTTTCCTCACCCATAAACAGGGCATTGACAGAGAATCCAGATGAGCTGTGATGAGCCCATAAGATCGAGCTACATCTACAAGTTAAAAGCTTGGCACTGGCCTGGCATCCAGCAAGCACTCGGTCACCCAGTGCCATCATCGTCACTAAGAAGAATGTCATGAGAGAACAGAAAGCGCTGGTTAAGTGGGGCATCCTCAAGGGGCGAGATGTCCCCTCCTCACAGAATTCTGCCCTGGCCACACTATTTGAAGTAAATCTCTCCTATTAAACTTTTTCCAGCACAGGGTGGATAGGGCTCAAGAACAAATTAGACAGGGGGATAAGCCGTGTACAGCATCCTTAACAACCTCAACTTTAAGACATAAACTGTGAGGGGCCCTCAAAGGGTTTTAAGCACAAGGGTGCCTGGGTGGCTCAGTTGGTCAAGCCTCTGACATCGGCTCAGGTCATGATCGCACGGTTCGTGGGTTCGAGCCCCACATCATCAGGCTCCATGCTGATGGTGTGGAGCCTGCTTGGAATGCTCTCTCTCTCTCTCCTCTTCTCTCTCTCTATGCCCTTTCTGTGTGCTCTCTCTCTCAAAATTAATAAATAAACTTATTTTAAAAAAAAGACTTTTAAGTATGAAAATGACACGGTCAAATTGGGAGTTTGGAGAGATGACTGAAGCAGCGCTTGAGGATAGATTTGAAGGGGCCAAGTCCTCCTCTGAGCCCTGAAGATATTACAGTAACCTAAGGGAGAGGTGAGGAGGGAGCTGCAAAGACAAGAAAAATGGAAAGAAGTAATATAATGAAAAAATAATTGTTATATGTCACTTTAGTATGTTATATATGATCATATATTTTATACATTTATAACTATATATATAAGACATAAAGGCTATATATGATGCTATATAGAAGCATATTGTATATAATACATGATATATATATCGTTGTATATATGTATATATGATACATATGTGTAATATATGGGTCTATATAACACCACATGTAACTAATATGTAAAGTTGATTAGGAGATACGATGGAGGGGTGGATAAGTGGAAAATGTCAAAGACAGCTCACCGTCTTCTAACTTTTTATTTATTAGGTTGTTCCCAGAGGCATGGAACGTAGGAGTGATTAGAAAGGAGCAAGAGGGAATAATGAGCTCAGTTTGGGTTCAGTGTGCCAGGGGACTATGCAGGTGGAAGAGCCCAGGAGTGACCTGGATGCTAGGTCTGTGGTTCAGAAGACAGGCTGGAGCTGCAGAAAGGAACTTCGAAGATGTCAGCACAGGGATGTCTCTGCATCCAAAGGAGCCGAGAAGCATCGAGGGTTAACTCCACATACAGAAGAGAGTTGGTTTGCTTCCTTTACATGTTCAGGGGAAAGCAACTTGTCCCTGAGACTAACCTTATCTTCAATGACAATGATTTTTGAAGTATTAAAAAATTCAAGTAATTTTTAAAAGTATACAACTATATACATTTTATTATTTAGTTTCTGTAAAACATGGTGATATAAGCTAAAACAGAATCAGGCATTTGAGAAGCAGAAAGACAATTAACTGCCTTGGGGGACAGTGAGGATGGGTAGGGGTAGGTAGGTTTGACAAACGGGGTGAGGGTATGGAGCTGGGACTTCCCAGGTGGAAGCTGCATCTTGAACAAGCACACGGCAGGTCTGGCAGATTGTATTCCATTGGGGGTGTCAAGCAGTTGGGTGTGGTTAGGGGGAGAATGTGTTTGGAAATAGATTGTTCGACGACAGCCTCATACACCTGGCCTGTCCTATGGGTATAGGTGTTCGGAAGTGTCTTAACTCCCCTAATGATTAGCTCTCACTTCCATGGGCTTTGTTCCTCTTCCTCTGACATTTTTCTTAAACCTTCTGCCTGGCTTGGACTGTAGCACTCAGGTCAGGTGTCGCTTCCTCCAGGAAATCGCCTGCGCCCTCACCTCTATCTCCAGCTCGGTCAAGTGCCAGTTTTCTGCACTCTCCCAGCTCCCAGATCTCGCCTCTATCATGGCACGTAATAGTGCCCAGGGACCGTGCCTTACCATCGTTACACCCGCCATGCCTGGAACGTGCCAGATGCTCACTGAACATCTGAGGAATGAATAATGTGCCTTTGGATGAGGTCACTCACCAGAAAGCTTCTCAATGGGGGGAGATCTGTTTTCAGAAGAGGAAAACTTAAATTGTTTCATTTTCTACAGCCAAATTTTATGTTCTATTTATAGCTTACAAAGGTCTCAGGACATATCAAAAATAAAATGCCATTCTGTAGAATTTGTAATCCTAGCCACGTGTGACCAAATGCAGAAAGAAGATACAGTCCCACGTCCTGGGGTAAATTCTGACAGATCTGTTTTTCATACCTGGGATTCAAGTCTCTCTCTAGAGACCAGTAGGGAGAGCCTGCCTGAGAATGAACCAACCCAGATGAAAACACAATCAAGAGATAGATCCCTGGCTGTATCATTTGAACACCTGGGCTTTTCAGTTATGTGAGCCAAAAAATTCCTTGCCATAAGGTAGTTGGAGTGGTGTTTGTCTTAACTCAGGACATACCTGATGCCAAAGCTCTTTGGGCCTTAGTATCTTCATGTGTACAAAGAAGGGAGTTAGGGGCGTCCGGATGGTGCAGCTGGTTAAGCATCTGACTTTTGACCTTGGTTCAGGTCATGATCTCACAGTTCGTGAGTTCGAGCCCCATATCTGGCTCTGGGCTGATGTCACAGAGCCTGTTAGGGATTCTGTCTCACCTCTCTGTCCCTCGCCTCACTTGTGCTCCCTCTCCCTCTCAAAATAAATACATACACTTAAAAAAATAAAAATAGATAAAATTTAAAAAACAAAACACGATGGATTTAGCCTGCACCCATACAATTTTTTTTAGGCATGGATGGCTAGTTTTCTATCCCAGAAGATGTGATGAGTAACTGACAATATTCACGGCACAGCAACCTATCGCTGTAGTGGGAAAACAGCCAGACAATACGTACATGAGAAGACATGGCTATGTTCCAATAAAAATTTCTTTTTGCAGACACCGAAATTCACAATCCATATATTCTTCATGTGTCACCAAATAGTCTTCTTCCTCCTCAACATTTTAATGTACAAGCCATTCTTAGCAGCTTGTGAGCTGTACAGAAAAGAAGGAACGGGCCAGTTTGTCAGCATAACAAACACCAAACCAGGTGTTTGCAGGCCTGGGTTCTGCTTTATGCTCTCCCCTTAACCTTGTGATCCTAACCAAGTCCCTTTGTCTCTCTGGGATTACTCTTTTGTCCATCTGGACAAGGAAGGGGCCATATGGGTGAGCCTCTCAAGGCCCTTCGGCTCTCAAGTACCACACATTTGATATTTCAACAACACATTTATTGAGCATGTATCATATATACCAGGCATTGGTTTAAATGTTGGGCAGAGAGCAGTAAACAGTAGTTCCAGCTCACATGGAACTTACATTCTAATGAAAAAAAGTTAAAATAAACTTATATATAAAATTGGGTAGTGAGAAGTACTGTTAAGAAAACAAAGAAGGGGAGGGGCGCCTGGGTGGCTTAGTCGGTTTGGCGTCCGACTTTCGCTTGGGTCATGATCTCACGGTTCGTGGGTGCGAGCCCCGCGTCGGGCTCTGTGCTGCCAGCTCAGAGCCTGGAGCCTATTTCGGAGTCTGTGTCTCCCTCTCTCTCTGGCCCTCCCCTGCTCACGCTGTCTCCCTCTCTCTCTCTCTCTTAGAAATAAAAAAAAAATTAAAAAAAAAAGAAAACAAAGAAGGGGAAAGATTGGGGTGACGGGACTGTGATTTTAGAAAGGGAGGTCAGGTGGCCTCTTGATCACTGACATTTGAACAGACACATGAACAATGAGGGAGTGGGCTCTGTGGAACACCCAATGTAAAGGCCTTGGGGTAGGAGCTCCCGTGTATTCAAGAAATAGTGAGGAGACCAGTGTGGCTGGAACACAGTGAACAAAAAAGAGAATAGGTCTTAAAGGCAGACAGTCAGTCAGGGATTTTATTCTAGGTGTGATCCAAAGCTCAGATTTTAAAAACGATTGCTCTGGCCGTGTGGAAGCCGGGCTCCAAGGAGGCACCAGCACAGACAGGGAGAGAGCATCAGGAAGGCACTGCAGGAGTCCAGCAAGAATGACAATGGTTGAACAAAAAAACCAAAAAACAAAAAACGGTAGTGCTGGGGGTGGAGGCAAGTGGCTGGATTCAAGATGGGAGTTTGAAGGCAGAGAGGACAGGATCTGTTGAAGGACTGGACAGGAGCAGAAGAAAAAGAGAAATCCAGGATAAATATGATGGGACCAAATCATACTTCAGGAACACAGTGTTTACATCTAAGAAATACTTACCATTTGATTTCTAAGGCAAGAATAAATCCTGTTCCTTTTATGCACAGTTTTATAAAATCACCAATCTATTTGCTGATTCAGAAATTAACGGTATATACCTTAGCAAACAAGGGGCGGGGCTCTAGAATATTTGGCTTTGAAAAACGTTTGCTGTTGCTTTTTGACATGCTTTGAAAAACTTCCTCCTGTGTGATCCTCCTCCCCAACACTGAGATGCCAGTTACAGAAAATCCACTGGTTGGAGTTATGTTCTGCATGATAAACCAGGAGCTGAGATTAAGGACATAGCTCATCCTTCTTTCCTGAATATTTCCCTCAATTCTTCATTCTTGTAATTTCAAATGAGTAGACGATGTTAACACTTGTATTTTACAAACCTTTCACCAGACTGCTTTCAGCATATTTATGATACAGTTATTCTCTGAAATCTCTACTCTGAAGGAAGGACCAAACCCAGTGTGATGTTTTCAGGGACTTCCACTTACAGCTTCTTTTCAAGTGGGAACCAGTGTCCTTCCCAAATCTAACAGCAGAAGAAGGCAGGCATAACGGGTGGAGAGAATGGTCTCTGAGGTTCACCTCTAGCCAGAGCCTTCTGGAGAGAAGGCACTTAGAAAAAGCACCCTGCCCGGACCCCCTGCCCCAAGTCCTGAGGGGAAACAAACCTACCAGAAAACTGTAGTCTTTATTCTAGAAAATAAACAAGAGAAGACACAACCACACAGACACTGTCTTGCATTTATTCACACAGAGGAATTAAGAATCCGTACAAATAATGAACATTGCTTTAAATACAAATAAATAGCTCTGGTTTCTAAAGGAAACAACTCTAGGTAATTCAAAGTTAAGTATTTTCTAAGTTCCTATTAAAAATAGAAGACTATTTTGCGTTAAGTAAGTCCTACTCCACCATAACCCCGTGAGGACCTAAGGATAAAATGGTGAATTCTATACTCTTAAGAAGTCACCAGAAAAATGAGAGATGATGCTCTCACCTCCCTGAACTATCCCCCAAATGGAAGGAGAGTTCGTTGCATCACAGACAGAGCTAATAAATGCAGAAAGTACTTAATAACTAAAGATATCTAAAGATAAAAAGATTTACCTTGGGGAAGGGGATGAGAGTTTTCTCTGGACTGGTTCTGTGAACTCTGAAACCTCACTATGCTCAAGACTTGGGTGCAGTGTCATGAACTCACCTATGCTCACAGGAAGACCTGAAGTCCTAGGATGAAAGCTTCCTCTTGCTGGGGCCGAGGATCGTAAAGCGTCTGTCATCACTAGGGATTAAGACAATTTACCTGGTAAAGACGCAATGGCGCTGCCCAACGCCACAGCCCATCAACCCGGCCCCAAAAGGACCAAGATCACTGACAGAAACACACTCTCAGATCTGTTCGTTTATTTCTCTCTTTCTGTTCTTGTATTTAAAATATTCAAACTGGGAAAACTTATCTGGGCCAGACAGTATGTTTTACAAAGGAAGAATCATTTTAAAGTCATGCGGTCTTTCCAGCCTTTAAGAACGACACAAAGCATGAGCTCATTACTATATTGGTGCCAGAGCAGGGCCTGCTCCGTGGACTTCCTGCGTCCACGGTGTGTCCCCTCCTCTCCCTGCACAAGTCAGTTTAATTTCTCCTACTTAGACCCCTACATGATTATTGATAAACAGTATCTTTGACAGAGATCAATATAGCAACGTTTAGGTTTTCAGAGAAAGTTTGCTTTCCTATTTAGATTGACCATGATACAATTCCAAACAGAACATTCTCATGCTATTAAAAAAAAAAAAATCTCATGCAATAGGCGCAATTGTAAAAGTCCCACGTTCATAACAACATTTGGTATATAGAAGGCAGAATTATTTAGATTTTTTAAAAATGACCACTCAAGAGTAAAAGTTGGATTTCTGAACAGAACTTCGCTGTGGTATAAAATGCTAGATTTGATTCTACAGTTCTGTTGACGCAAACAATTTTAAGATATACACCATGTTTTTCTAACTGGGATTTTGAAACAATAACCATAATTCTGAAACAGATGACCACAACTTTTGCTCAAAGAATCAGCTCCCTTTTGCCAAGAACCTTTTCTTTTTAGTCTAGTTGGAGGGATTTCCATAATAAATTCTGGAACAACAATTCTCAACATGATTCAAAGTCTCTCACTTCCCTCCCTCTCTCTTACTTTTTCTTTATATTGTAAAGACATCTGAGCACAGAAAAATGCTCCACTTTTTTTTTTTGTACAAAAGATCGATGTTAATAAATTTAGTTTCCTGACTTAGACCATATTTTTTGTTTGCCTTTCTCTCTAGCATGCTATATAATGGTTCTGGAGTCACAAATGCAAACACAACAGCCAACTAGAGCATCCTACGGTTCAAATCACAATTTTGGATCCGATCCTATTTATTCTGGACGATGCTCAATTCCACACACACTTCAGGGAAGAAACATCCATGAGAACATCCAAAAACATTATGCTACCAAACTCTAACAGTGATTGTGCTCTGTTGGGTAGTACCATTCACATCTACAAAGTACAAAGGCAGAGGATTTCAGGTGTGAAGACCAGTTTCCTTTTGCTGCTACAATAATTCATAACCATCATCTTCGAGATTTCCAAGCTGTTCGAGAATAAGGAGTAGTCCTTTTTTTATCTGGAGGCTTAAAGTAGGAATAAACAGGCGCTGCTGGGTACTCTGCGTCAGGATTTTCTGCCATCATTTTCAGCTTGGCTTCAATGGCTTTTATCTTAGCAGTGACACTGGAAAAAGGACAGCAGAGGATCAGAGTGGGCCTGAGTACATTCTGAAAATACTCATGTACTTCATCTTCCTTGTGCCTTCTTTTGCAGATCAGAGAAGCAACATGATACTTAAATACGAATATGCAAATATTTCATAAAAAACACACACAAATAACATTTTAAGAAAGATCAGGGAGGCCCTGGTGGCTCAGTCGGTTGAGTGTCCAACTCTTGATTTCGGCACAAGTCAGGCATGATCTTGTGGTTTGTGAGTTCGAGCCGCGCAACAGGTTCTGTGCTGACAGTGTGGAACCTGCATGGGATTCTCCCTCCCCGCCCCTTCCCCTCACATGTGGTGTCTCTCTGAAAATAAATAAACAAACATTAAAAAAAAAAAGGGATCAAACCTGAACCATCTATTAAATTTTTCCTAACACCCACACTCTGTTAGGAGTACTCTGCATATGGCTACATTTAATCTTCAGACACACACACATTGTTTGACACTGTAGTGCCTGGCAGATAGTAAGCAGTCAAATAATTCATGTAGAAATTGAAAGCAGGGTCTAGGGGCACCTGGGTGGCTCAGTCGATTGAGTGTCCAGCTTCGGCACAGGTCATGATCTCATGGTTTGTGAGTTTGAGCCCCGTGTTGGGCTCTGTGCTAACAGCTCAGAGCCTGGAGCCTTCTTCAGATTCTGTGTCTCCCTCTCTCTCTCTCTGCCCCTCCCCCACTCATGCTGTTTCTGTCTCAATAATAAACATAAAAAAATTTTTTTAAAAATTGAAAGCAGAATCTTGTATGAATAAATAAACAAAATGTGGTATTAGATCACATTTTGGAATAGTATTCAGCTTTTAAAAGGATGGGAATCCTGAAATAATGCCACAACATGGATGAACCACGAGGACATTACGCTCAGGGAAATAAGCCTGTCACAAAAAGACCAATTCGGTATGATTACACTTGCATAAGGTACTTAGACTAAGCAAAACCAGAGGCAGAAAGTGGGATGGTGGTTGCCAGGGGTTTGGGGGAGGTGGGAATGGGAAGTTATTACTTGATAAAGAGTTTCAGTTCTACAAGATGAAAAGAATTATGGAGAAGGATAGTGGTAATGCTTGTAACATTATAAATGTATTTAGAACCACGAACTGTACACTTAAAATGGTAGAGATGGTGGGGCGCCTGGGTGGCTCAGTTAGTTAGTTGTCCAACGCTTGGTTCTGGCTCAGGTCATGATCTCACGGTTTGTGAGCCCCACATTGGGCTTTGTGCCGATAGCATGGAGCCTGCCTGGGATTCTCTTTCTCCCTCTCTCTCTGTCTCTCAAAAAAAAAAAAAGGACCAAGACCAGGCCAAATAGAATTAAAAACAAAAAAAAGGTTAAGATGGTAAATGCTATTTTATGTCTTTTACCACAGTAAAAAAAATATTGGAAAAAATAATTCATGTAGGATTGAAAACAACATTGTAAGGTGGGTTATACTCATTTTGCAGATGAAAAAACTGAGGCACAGAAAGGTTAACTTGCCGAATATTACTTAGCTGGTAAGCAGTAGAGTTGAGATTTGAACACAATTTGGATTCAAGAGCCCATGCTATTAACTACTACATTGTACCATTTTTTGAATCACTAAATAATAATGGAAAAACACCCTGGAATTCCTACAAAATCTCTTTTTAACAAATGTGTTTGTAAATGCATTCATTTATGGAGTGCTTACAATGAGCCAGGCACTGTGCCCAGGGTCTACCTACACTGTTTCTAGTCCTTGTGGGAACACCCACATTTTATAGATAAAGAAATGCAGAGAGGTAATAATTTGCCCAGGGTTCACACAGCTAACAGACTGCACAGCCAGGATTCAAGCCCAGTTTGTTATCATCAAAACCCCTGCTCTTTCCTCTCCATTAGATTAGGAGCTAAGCAGCCCTGTATCAGAGAGAAGGGGTGAGAAGACACTGCAGACTTTGGGAGGAATTCCTTTCTGATCGAGGTCACTGCCATCCCGGGACCAGAATGCAAAGCACTCAGGCAGTGGGTATTCTATGGCCCCTGGTTTCCTCTCCATTCTCAATGCTGTCATGATCTATAGTCAGGGACAGAAAAACTCGGAAGAGGATGTATACAATGGTCTTTCAGAAATCCTCAAAAACTGTACATCTGCTCCTGTATACTCCTAATTTTACGTGGCCAATGTAAAATTAAAACCCTAGGTTATGATAAAAAAGAACACGAAGGTATTACCAAGATGCATTCCAGCACCTTCTCTTCTCCATTCATGGGATAGCCAGCTCTCTGTCTTGTAGGAGTCACCAAAATACAACCTTCTCTAATTAGGTGTAGATGTTAATAGAAAGTGTAAGCTGGGGTTCTCTGGAGTACAAAATAAATGGAAACCACTAGGCTGTCTAATATAGATGCAAACACCAAAAATAAAATTAAAGACACATTCATTGTAACAGGGAGAGCAGTGACATTAATGCAGTGGTCTCTCAACAGGAGTTAGATTTTTGAAAACCTCCATGAAAACTAATTTGTGATAATGGAGGTTGAAACTTTATGGAGAAAACAGCATAATGGATATGGTTCCCAGTGAACCTACAAAAGTCATTAACTTTTTTTTTTTTAAATTTCTGGGAGCACAAAATGGTAAAAGAGGACAAAATTAAGAAATAAATATCAATTAAGTTAACTATTATATTTAATATTTGTCAGTGACATTAAATATTTTATTAAATGTTATTTATAATATAGAAAATATAATTTAACAAATATTAAATTAAATATTAAATATGTTAGGTACTGTAAATATATAAAGCAATGATATTAATTAGTAACTGTAAATTAATTTTACTGTATTTTTAAAAAATGTTTATTTATTTTTGAGAGAAACACAGCATGAGTGAGGGAGGAATGTGGGGGGAGAAGACACAGAATCCCAAGCAGGCTCCAGGCTCCCAGCCGTCAGCACAGAGCCCAATGTGGGGCTCGAACTCACAAACTGTGAGATCAGGAGCTGAGCTGAAGTCAGACACTTAACTGACTGAGCCACCTAGGCGCCCCTAATTGTACTGAATTTTGAAGTCCAGTAGACCTAGCTTTGAATCTGGAATCTGTTACTTGCTACCTGTGCGATCTTGACCAAGATACTTTACCTTGCTAAGTGTCAGTTTCCTCCGAAATAAAATGAGCGTTCCAGTATTCTTACTGGCATTTTTATAATTAAGTGACACATGGCATGTGAAGTGTACAGCACAGTGCCTGCTTTACAGTAACCTCAATAAATCCTGGCTATTGTTATTGTTAAAATTTCTCCCTAGGCTACAATGCAGGGGAAAAAAAACCCACACAACAAAAACCCTCTACTTCTGCTCAACCATCCACTTAACTTCCCCTTTCTCCACCCGACTCTTTATTCCTTCTGTTTTGAATTAACTCCCCAGAAGTAACTGACAGTTTGTGCACACTAGAACCAACACTGCTATAAGTTGCTGAAGTGGCCCAGAGAATGAACGAGCTGCACATAACACTCTATAGAGGGGAATTCACGGCTGGGGTGGAATTAGCATACGATATGTATAATGACAAAGCCAACAAGACTCCAGGCCTGGTTAAAATGCTTGTTTTCAGCGTAAGGACTGTCTGAAGAGCCTGCGAATTCCAGTGCCAGGTGCAATGGCTGGTCCATGACAGGTATATCCAACGGGTTTTGGATGAATGAATTCTGTAAGTACATGAACTTGGGGGTATGGGAGGAGAGGCAATTACGCATTCTGGAGATTAACTAACACATCTCTCAGTATGTCAAAAGTTGACAGTTCTATTCTAAACCAAGAGTCTAAAGATCCACTAAAGTACAAATGAAGGCTTGGAACGAAGACGTGGCTCATGCCCCTGAATGCTTTGCGTCCTTCTACAGAGCCCCATCTTACCTGAGGTTAGACTGAGTGGGCTCAGTGCTGGAGGATGGCTCAAGACTGATAGGAAGGATCTTATCATTCTTGTTATGATCGTATCTCTGAAAGAAAAAGGGAAATCACTTCAGCTGAGCAAAAATCAGCCCTTTACTGTAGTGCCTAAGTTCAGAAACTCCAACCCCATCAGTGTACCGCTGGCATATTTCTAGACAATCTTAGGACAGCTTTACATTTAGAACCATGTAAAACTCCACACGGTTTTGGCCTAAAAGCTATAAATTTAGAAAAAGGAGTTTTGGTTTTTGTTATTTATTTATTTTTTGAGAGACAGAGAGAGACAGCACGAGCAGGGGAGGATCAGAGAGACAGAGAGACACAGAATCCGAAGACAGGCTCCAGGCTCTGAGCTAGCTGTCAGCACAGAGCCCGACGCAGGGCTCGAACCCACAAACTGTGAGATCATGACCTGAGTCGAAGTCGGGCGCTTAACCGACTGAGTCACCCAGGCGCCCCAAGAAAAAGGAGTTTAAAAGTACCAAGCATAACATTCATCCCTGAACAGGCCTGAGTGGAGAAGAAAAGTAGTAACAGGTTTTAGCCACTGATATGAAAAACATCCTATAGCAAAAGAGTAGTTTAATTTGATGTCAGATAATAATATAGCTCTTGTAAAAAGTAAATTAAATATTAAAGAGCAATCAGGCCCTCTGGTCAAAAAGACTGGTAGGAGAAGAGAACCGCAAGGCACAGAATTTCTTAAATGAAAGATAGGAACAGAGGATCATTTCTCTTGCATGTCTTTTCAATGAGACACAGAATGAGAAAATGACAGCTAGTCTGGCAAATGAGACTTGATTTTCTCTTGAGTAAAAAAGCATTTGGTAATTCTCCTTGTTGTTTTTATGTTTAAGGCAATGTGTCCTAGAAACAGAGAAGGCTCTGTGATTACCTGAGATACTCAGAAGGATCCAAAGTGTCTGAGCTCTGTTTTTCAGTCTGGACACCCAGCTCAAATGTTTAATTTCTGTGACCCTTTACTGAGAAGCTTGGTGGGTAGGGGCCTCGGATCAAAAGCCATGCTCCTATAGGTAAAGACTGAAGCTCCACTTTTAACTGCTACAGACCTTCTCACAGGCAGGTCTGTCAACACCTGCCACGAAGGATGCAAATAAACTCTTGGGATTGCTCTGGTCCACATCCTTCGCCACCTTCATGCCAGGTAACACAGACTGCCATTCTTTTTTTTTTTCTTTTAATGGTCATATCTTTTCCAGTGCATTTTCCCAAGAGACCAACTATAAGATGAACGAGGCCATCTGCCACTTCTTGGGCCTTGGAGACAATTCAGACCCTGCAAAGTCCCACAAATAACTCTCAAACTCTCTGGAGTGATGAGACGCCAGGGCTTTAAGCACTCATTCAAACTACCCATTTCTCAAGCATTTAGAATAAACATATTCAAACTCTCCACAGAATGGAGAGGCTGGAAGGAGTCTAATAATGCCTAAAGCAACTAATTTTAAAAATAAATGCATTTTTTCATCCAAAGAACAACCCCCACCAAAAACATGATAGAGGTCTGAGTATACACATCAGCCACATGGAAAAATCAATCAAAAACAGAATCTGTGGGTATGTGGAGAGAAACAATGAAGGAACTTAATCCCTCCTGAGATGCTTCTCAAAAGAAAAATCTGGCAACACACATGGTAAATACAAGTAGGAGACCGAAGTGTGCCTGCTCCAGATGTGAAGAGGCTGGGATGTGAACGGGTAAGTGGACAACGGCCTTCTGGAACACTCACTTAGGGAGAGCTTGGAATGGTCTTTCTAGCCCCGCAGACTTACCTTGACTTGAGCATGTGCCCATCGTACCACCAGCTTCTTAGACAGAGCCAGCTTGCCATTGAGACACTGGATGGCTTGTTCTGCTTCCTGTCCGGGAAAGGGAGGGATGTTAGTCAAAAATTCACGTGCCTCACAGGGCCTCACCAGTTTGATGGCTGCAATTCCAACCAGACTGCTTCTGATAAACAACTGGCAAAGGATTTACAATTTAAAAAAAAAAAAAAAAAAAAGGCATGATAACAGAAGGGATGTGAGTTTTGTAAAGTTGGCCAAACAAAAACACCAATCGTGGCTCTGTTACTTACTGGCAGTGGAGTAGTTGGCAGGGCCCTCCCTTAATCTCTGTGAACATTAGCTTCTTCATCTATAACATATGGATACTACTACTTGTTCCTCACTGGTTGTTGTGAGGAGTCAAAGAGTGCATGTAAAGAAAGCGTGGAGCACGTGGTAAGCACTCAACCACTGTGAGCGAATTGTTCTTATTAGGGGATTCCTTTCTATACACTTCTGTCTGTCAGGACCTACTGTGCTAAGAAATCTACTGGAACTATACCTCAGACTAGGGCTTAGACTCCTTGGATCCAAAGTGAGAAACAGTAATGGCTTCAAAGGATATGGGAGTGAAGGAAACTAGGCCGGAAAAAGCAGGAGTGAGTCAAAGAGCCTGTGAGCAAGGTGTTTGTGTGAGCCAATCTGTGCACCTGGTTTTTAGAGCCAAAACTTCCCTGACCCTTTCCCCATCAGATACAGGAGCAACAAGGTTAAAAGGAATTCCTGAAGCTGAATTAAGAGTCACTCTAGGACATTCCCGGGAAGCCTGGTCGTACTTTTCCATCCTGCCAAACCTTCTTTGCTCCATTTGTATCCACGAGGCATTCAGCCAAATGTAGCCCATGTCTACCAGGGGGTAAAGAAGCCCTTAAGGAACAGGAGCAGGAACGAGAGGAGTGGATCTGAGACTGCAGTGTAACACCACCAGACATCCCAGTCTGGTGTCACTGGGGATTCCCTTGTTCCTGCAGAGCTTGCCAGCATGGCATTCAACAGATACCTGAGTGCTCACTATGTGTCAGCCATTGGACAGTCTCTACACCCTCGCTTGCCAGTCAGAGAGACAGAAAAGAGACATTTTATTCTTCTTTGAAGTTTCATCTAGTGAATTAGAATTCACACGGCATTCTCTATTAATTCTCCAACATCAGCAGTAGTAAGATGCCAGCAAGAGGATACATGCTTTTAAAAAAATTTCTTACCTTTGTACGTCATTTCAAGGTTCATGTACTCAACAATATTATTAAACGCCAACTATATTTTCCTATGTGCCTTCATCTATTGTCTCAACTCCCTATAAGCTAAGGAGAGTATTTTTAATCCCCATTTTAAAATGAAAACTGAGGCCAAAAGGGGTCAAGAGGCTTGCCCAAAGTTCATAGATAAAAGAGCCAGCAACAGAAGCGAGGCTTTGTGACTCGTAGTCCAGTGTTTTAAAATCAACATCTATCCCCATTGTGACCACAGATTTTAACTGTCTGTAAGAAAGCTCATCACGCTCTATCATTAAGGAAGAATAAGGTATTTAAAAATGCTAACCATACACAGCATTTTTTCACTTCCCTCATTTAGAATACCAATGTATCACTTAGTTCCTATCTCATTTGCAAAAGTTAGAGGAAATGGAAAGCATTCCCAGCACTGATCAGGACAAATGACACTCTCATACAGTCTCAGAACGTACAGATACAACCTTGCTTGAAGGCAAGTGGCAGTCCTATCAAGAAAAAATATGTATGGCCTTTGTTGACACCATTCAATTTCTGTGGATACAGTGAACGTGAAAATAGTAAGAGTTATGAAGCTATTGCCTAGCAGACTGCTTACACCTGTGAATCACTGGGGACAACCTAAACAGCTAATAATTAGGGATTTAGTCAAATAACTTACCAGATAGTCCTATGATGAAATATTGTGTGGTTGTCAAAAATGGTGTTGAGTTACATATAACAAAATGTATACACAATTAAGATCTACATCAGTGATTTTTTACATATAAATAGCCACACTGGTGAAACCACAGCATCATGATACGGAATGTTTTCTGGATATGTGGTAGAGGACAGAAAATTTTTAATAGACTTTGAGTGGTAAACAGGACAATATGACCTGATTTGGGTGCTCTAAGCTCTATAGGTACATATGCATGTGTGAATGTAAAGAAAGAAGAGACTGCAAAACTGGGCTGATAAGGGAAGTCATTTAATCTATATTTTCATCTATAATTAATACACACTACTTTTATACCAAGAAACACATTCAAATACAATATTACTGAAACAATAACCAGGCAATGGCCTTCCATATGACTACTAAAGTTATAGAGAATACTAGCCAGTATCTCTATATTTAATAACATCCAAATTCAATTTCTTTATCAAGCCGTGTTCACTTAAAGGATACAATTTTACCGCAAGAAGATACACGTGTATATTATGGTTGAAGCTGAATGCTCTCTTCCTCCATATATATTCAGATCTGTTCACATTTGTTCTGCGACACTCAGAAGAAGGGTACATTTTTAAGAAATCAAAATAAAAGAGTTTGTGGGTGGCTCACCACACACAGGGAGGGCTTCTGCACCACGGGGCAAAACTATTGAAAGAAAAGGAGGCTTTGTTGGCCTGCCACTAAAGGAACAAACAAACCAGAGCAGGGAGGAGGATGTCCATGTGCTTAATGTGGGCACCCAAAGCATCTGGTCAGAAAAGTAGGTCAGCCGCCTTAGACCGCGAGCCTGGGGAGAGTCGGTTTTGAAAGCTGTTCACTCATTCGTTTACCGAGGACTCAGGGTGAGGCACACAGGGGTGAGTCTGACACAGCTCCTGCCCACAAGGCACCACGGCTCTAGTGCTCAGGAGAGAGGCCTAAGTAAGGAGGAGAGTACGGGAAGCCCGTGCAAGGGGCGAGGTGTCATCACCTGCTTAGTTTCGAAGTTGACAAAACAGTACCCTCGAGGCTGCCCCTCCAAAGCTCCGGACTTGTGGAAGAGGAAGTCAAACTGCTTCACTGTGCCAAACTTCTGGAGGAGCTTGAGGAGGTGGTATCTGTGGAGAAAGGACAGCCCATGAGCACACCGGGAATTTGGATGCCCACTCTGGCCGAAGGGGGAGATAAAAGCAGGAGATAATTTACCCTGGGGATAAAAATCTCGCCCCCCCCACCCCCACCCCGCTGCCTTCTCCCAAACTGCTGCGTTAGTTTATTTGGCAAACAGACTTGTTTGCCTCTATTTGGAATGGGAACGAGAATTGTCATGGCTAAGCGTCTGTCCAGCACAAACATACCAAACAAAAAAACCACACCTAACAAACAGCTGTCTGGCCCACAAGCACCATTTGTTTTTCTTTTGGAGAAAAGCTCAAAAATAGTGTCGATCTATTTATTTTTAATCTCTTGGCAGTGAACTAGTATTTGTGAATAACTACAACTCCATCAGGAACACATACCCACACTCCAAAAGCCGAAGCCTCCCCTATCTCAAAAATAAATAAAGTAACACACATTCACACAAACCAGAAAACAACTTTGGAAGACTTCTGTAATAGATTTCATAATTAATCATTAGCCCCGAATTGCACTCGTGAGAAATTCTGCCAAAAACCAAACCACAGCTAGCGGCACTTCCATGAAGTGCCTGAGAGTGTCAATCCCTGATGTGACTGAATGTTAGGGACAATGTGGAACCACAATGTGATTGAGGCTGGTCTCATACAGGGCAGGGGAACCTGGCCAGTCCTATAAATCACCCAGCTGTGGGGAACTCATCAACCTCAGTTGCTTTCAGACAGTTTATACTTTGGAGCATGGTCAGTTCAAGAATACTGATGGCCCAGGAAGACTTTTTTCCTGGTACGAGGCTCACCCCAAGCTCTTGCTTGCCATTGTGCCCCTCATCCTCTTCTTGGATTCCTTTCTCTAACACTTATTTGGCTTCTATAGAGCTTTTAAGTTATTCAAACAGATGTGGCCTTAACAGGTTGCTGTGGCCAATCTCAATTCCGACTTCCTGTCATCTGATGTAAGGGTGAGACAAACCAACAGCTCTCCCGTTTCCTTTTCCTTTGGCCTTCCTCCTGGCATCCTCCACACTATTCAAATGGAGTCAAGGCTTTCTCTAAACAATGCTGTCCCTGTGATACTAAAAAGGTATCAGCCCACATGCTAAATCTGTTATTACTGGGAATTCTACCCCACAGGGAGTCAGTGGAGCTGTTGTTACAGCCGCATTGATATTCACATTATTTTCTAGGAGAAAATCATCAAGATTTTATTCTTGAGTAACAATCTCCTTTGGGAGGCAGAAAGATATGAAGGGGATCATAAACTCTATATACTAAATTTGATACTAATGTACATCAACAAGCAAGCCCATTATCCTGGATCAGGTGCCTGACACAGTGGAGCAAGAAAGACATAATACAGGTCTTGCACTGGGGCAGGATGCAAGGATCCCAAGGCATACTGTGGCCATTAATCTGGTCGTTAGACCTGTTTTGAAAGGGAAAGCAATTGTAACCCCCTAGTTTCCAAATTCTCAGCTCCTCTCAGGAGACCTCAGTTGCTAGTGAGGATGTAGGCATGGATTCTCCAGGGGAAAGGGAGACATCTCAAGTGCAGATTCCTGGTTTTGATTTTTGAGTAGGCGTACAGCAAGGGTGAGCCTCTCAAATGCGCAGATAGATATGGGCTGGAAGAACCTGGGTCTTTTTTTTTTTTTTTTTAATATAGTTTATATATTTTTAAGTAATCTCTATGCCCGGTGAAGGGCTCAAACTCGCAACCCCAAGATCAAGAGTCTCACAGTCCACCAAATGAGCCAGCCAGGTGCCTGTCCTCTGGATCTTTAACTCACAGCTGCATCTTCCACGTAGTATAATGATTCAAATCTCAACACTGTGCCAGTTGCTGTGAATGATGGGTCAAACCCTTTTTTCTAAAAGACAATCTAAGGGCTACTGTGGGCAGGTCATCTTTTCATCAGTTCTATTCTGCTTAAAAGCAGGAAGGTAAGGCGATCGGCATTTCCTAGGAAATGAATTTTAATTTACTCAGAAAAAAAAAAGCCAACAGATTACTCTTTGAAAAGCTAACAAATACATTCTGCCCGAGAAGCGCGACCTTAAGATTCCAGGAACATCTGCTTAGGTCTGTGTCTTTCAACTTCTCCAGGATTTCTTTCCTTGTTTGATAATTTCTTGAAATTATCGGAACACCGAAACAAAAGGAATGAAATGTTTACTATTTTGCTTCCTGGAGATGGGGACTGTGAGCTCTGATAGTGAAAAAAAGCCCGAAGAGGCTTGCTTTCACATCTGCAAGCACTTTCACATGCTGCTGAAGTACGGGAGGGCTCAGGACTCAGAGCCTCGCTTCACTTCATGAAACGTGTGGCCCTGCAGCCTTCAGGAGCTAGTACACCAGTCCCAACATGTTTCTGCAACTTAGTGTTTTCCATAATGGTCTTGAAAATGGCCTTCCTGCCTAATGGCACAGAAGTAATTAGTCTACACAAATGTTAAAATAGACACCTAGACACCTACTCCTTGTCAAAGACTGTAGTAGGCACTTGAACCATTCAGATGAATACAACCAGGTCCTTGCCTTTCAAGGACCTCACATTCTGGTTAGAAGACAGAAATATGCAATCAAAAAAATTGCAAAACGCTATGATACTTGCACATAGATATATGTGCATGAGCACACAGATGAAGAGGCCCAATCCTGCAGGGAACATGGTGGTTACTGAGTATCAATCACAGTGCGAAGAAATGAAGGTGAAAGGGAAACTGCTTCACTGGAAGAGAGCTGCATTGGGCAGTTAAGAGATGAGCTGAAAGGCAGGCAGGGAACAGACTGAAGGACGCTGGTGTTCTTGGTGAGGGAATTTTAATTTGATGCTGTAGACAATGGGAAGCCAATGAAATGATATTTAAGACTGTTTTAAATGGGTAATTTGTTTTAGAGAAAATTCTTTAAAACTTATAGAAATTATTATTTGCTGGGTCTTTATGTTCTATGTTATTAAATAGTACTAATGTGTTTCAAATTTAAGTAGCAAACAGCCAAGGCGGACTCATGCATACCAAGGCATTAAAAGAAAAGCAGCATGAATCATGAAGGAAAAATAAGAATGGGCTGAGAAAAACAGGGTTTCTTTAGGGTAAAACACACATTCATGCATGGACTCCCCTCTTGCATTCTCTGAAAGTCCACCTCAGAAGCACATTTCCACCTGGATGGCTCTCCACTACTTTTAAGCTTACTTAGTATAACCCAGAATGACCTCCCCTCCACAAACTGATGCCCTTTCCAGCTATTCCACCAGTCAGTGTGGACAGGATTCTCCATTTCTTAGGCAAGAAATAGCAGGGTCATCTTCAACTCCTGTTCCCCTTCCTTCGTCTCTTAGACTCACCTACCAGTTTCCAAGTTCGTGGACTCTACCTTCGTGATCGACTGGCCTAATTTCTGGCAGTCTTTCCTAGCTTATCTTCTGCATCAGTCTTTGCTCCTCCAACCCACTCTGCATACTGATGTCTCATTTCTCCAATAAAACATCACTTTCATGGTGTAAGCATCCTGCTTCACACCTCCTAGTAAGTCTCTTCTACAAGTTCAAACTTCTTGTCTGAGTAAATTTTATTTATTTATTTATTAAAAAAATTTTTTAATGTTTTATTTATTTCTGAGAGAGAGAGAGAGGGAGACAGTGTGAGCTGGGGAGGGTCAGAGAGGGAGAGAGAGATACAGAATCCGAAGCAGGCTCCAGGCTCTGAGCTAGCTGTCAGCACAAAGCCCGATGTGGGGCTCGAACCCACGAACTGTGAGATCATGATCTGAGCTGAAGTCGGACGCTTAACCGACTGAGCCATCCAGGCGCCCCTGAGTAAATTTTAAAGACCCTGCATGAATCTGATAGGACTGTCTATCTCACTGCTTCTTTCATTCTCACTTAGCATTCACCTTCCTTTAATCAAAAAGGTTCTCCTGACAATCTGCTCCCACAGTCTTTCTTATTTTCGCTCACACCTTCCACTTAGAACACTCCTTTTTGTACAATTTTCGCGGCTTTGTTTCTTCTCATACTTCTCATGAATTGTGCAGTGGCTATTCCTTTGACTTTCTATATAAAACATTTAATATTTGAAAAAGAAAGCCAGGATTAATCCTTTCAGAGGAAACCACAGTGTGGAAAATAGATACTATCTAAGGACATTAACTTTTTTGGCTTCTCTGTTTCAGGCACTAACAATGACATTTGGAGGTACTGTTTACCCTGGGATGAGACTGGATCCCACAATCTTAAAAAAGTCCTTATATTTTAAAATTTAAAACAGGACACTTTAGGTTATCATTGTTCAGTTAAGTGGACTATTAGAATATCTACACAAAGAGCACTAGGTGATGGGGAATTAGTCCACGGCTATTTCAGTATACTGAGTTAACTCACTTAACTCTTCCTGTCCTGTAAAACACGGACAATATTAACTGTTTCCCTTGCCTCACAAGGTTGTTATGAGCATAAATAAGAGAAACTAATACGTTAGAGCCAGAAGAAATGTTCTCATCATAAGTTGAACATTCTCACTTTGTAGATGAGAAATATGAGGTGTAGTGTAGTTGGGAGGAATCAGAATAGAGTAGAAAGAACATGGGTATGGAACCTGCTACCTCCACAAATCATAATACGTCATCATTCCCTTAAATCTAAATCTCTATGACCTATTTAGTCCTATAGATATCCCTGGCAGCTCGCATAGCCATGAAATGTAAGTACTGCAACCACAGAATACTGAATCCAAACCAACATGAAGCAAGATATCAGAGTCCTAGACAGTCAGTTAGCAATGCATATTCCTCTGAGAGGAAATTGATGGGCATCCCGTGTAACCTGAGCAGGACTCAGATGGATAACTAACAAGCACATACACATAAGATGACTCGAATTAATTACAAAATAAACGGGAAAATTGAGTGGAAAGTCTACTTTTTTAAACTGTCTCTGTTTTACATATCCTTATAACCATTCATGACAGTAAATATACACTATAAACTGTCTTCTAACAAGAGGTGAGAGACCATTTGTATATGAGGGGCATTCAGATTAGTTTATAAAGAGATCAGGAAGAGGGACGGTAAAGAGCAGGGGAAGTACAGGAAACAGACAAGAACACGCTGAAGGGGGAAGGGGGAAAGAGCAGGCAGCAGCAACAATTTGTGGGTGGGGTTTAATTATGAAAACTGGAAAACCCTCTGCAAACTTCTCTAAAGAGTCATTAGAAGTTTATTTTTTTCCTTTTTTATTTTTTATTAGTTTTTTTTTCCCCTTGAGAGAGAGCACAGGTGCAAGTTGTGGGGGATGGGCAGAGAGGCAGAGAGAGAGAGAGAGAGAGAGAGAGAGAGAGAGGAAGAGAGAGAATCCTAAGCAGGCTCCCTACTGTCAGCACAGAGCCTGGCGTGGGCTCAATCTCAAACTGTGAGATGGTTATCTGAGCCAAGATGGAGTTGGACACTCAGCTGACTGAGCCACCCAGGTGCCCCATGAGTCATTAGAAGCTTGAAGATCTGGATTCAAATACTTTTTGAGATTGGACTACAAGCCAGGCGCCCATAGTCACATAAAGTTATAACATGCAATCCTACAATGTCTGGAAATGACTGGAGTTTGATAATTCACAAAGGCCCATCATTACCCACCTTGAGAGGAACAGGATCCAGAAGTTTATGTAACTCAAAGACTAGGAAGGAAATCACACATTTCCATAAGACCTACCTTACTGACGTGTTAGGTTTCTTTGCTGTAATTAAGTAAATTCAATGAGATAACACTCAGCATTTCATACTAACCACAGCTACGATTGACAGTTATATTTAAAAAAATAAATTTATTACTATTTAATAAATCAGTCTGTTTGGCAGAGAAAATGTTTTAAGATAAGGAATCTATAGAAGAAAAACAGTAAAAGCAATAGCAGGTGACACAGAAGTGGGGAAGCCACAGGTAGGCCCTGCAAAGCCCTGATCTGCAGTTCAGTCCACGATGTCCACCTCTGGCCTGACATAAAAGGGGCAGAGATACCAGTGGGAAAGTTTTGATTCAATGTTCCTGTTAATGCTCTAGCTGAACAAAACATTGATATCCTCTAATTTCTAATTTCTGAGGTGGTAGATGCCCATTTCAACCTTCCTATCAAGCAGCAGGACACAATTAGAGCAGGAGTCTCATTGCAATGAATCGCAGCCAAAACAATGAACGATGTTTCCATGTTGCAGATTTCCATTCAGACAAGCAGAGGTGGGAATGGAAACCACTCCTGGGAGCATCCCCTCACAGCTTGGCTTTTAGATGATGGAAACAGTTTCCCTGATCAACACACACAGCTGAGAGGCGGGGCTGATACGCACATTCATCCTCAAAGCCATAAGTCATAAAGGGAACCAAAGTAAATACGCAGTCCATATTCCAGGGCCTCAGGGACCAAAGTAACATAATATGGGGACAACATATCTTAAATGGCATAATTCTTAGAGGAACCGAAAGTTAACTACGTTTAGATGATCTGAACTTCAGCAGAAGAACTAAACTTTTTGTTTCCATCCTGATCCATTAGTTCACATGCCTCTCTTCTCTCCCAGTCCCAATCCTACAGACACCTCCTCTCATCCTAGACTCAAATAAGCAGGTTCTCTGGTCTGCTCTCGCCTTGCCTTTACCACTATTCCAAAGGGAGCAGCTTTTATGACTGATGGCACACTCCACGCCTGCTTTAAGCACTGATCCCATATAGCTGATCTATTCACTCCTTACCATCCTGCCACCAACCACAGCCCTGTACCAACTGAACAACTGGGGGAAAGGAAAAATCTCTTAATTCTCTCTGCTAAGAAATTACTTTCCACCATCATGGCCACGATGGGAAGAGTGGGGAGTCAGGACAATTTAAGTCGTTCTGTTACCCTGGGCAAGGCACTTCTGTGTCTCAGGCCTCAGTTTCCTCTACTGTAGAATAAGAGCACTGCATCATATCAGAGGTTTTCAGGCGTGCTCCATGGGGCCAGGACGTGGAGTCCTAGAACTGACTGCCAAAGAAAGCGTAGGTGTTGCCAGAGGGCTTTGGGTGGGCCTCTCCCCCACTTAGTCAGCACAGCTCTCAGCTTTTATTTTATAAATAGGTTCTGATTACTTTAAGACAAGGTTCCTCAGATTTAAAAAGTTTGAATACTGGTTAGTGTGGCACTTGATACACATTAGGCACCATATCATTTAGTCAATGAATGAAAACCAAAGGGGCTGACAGCGATTTCTAAGATGCCTTCCAGCTCTGACCTTCTATGGTTTAATGGCTGGTTAACATGAATTATCGTCAAGTGGTAGCCTCCGCCTGTTTGTGAAGGTACTGACACTTCTGCTAGTCCCCTCATTTTGAGAATAAAAGCATGCCATGGGCTGATTCTAGAAAACAATGTCCTGTAGTCACTGGGTACAGGGATTCAAATCAGGGGAAAAAAAAAAATTGTTGGCAAGTAGGAAAAAAGAGGTATATGCTTTAAAGAATACCCAAGTCTGTGTTCTTGCAGAACAGTCCAAATATAAGAATAATGTCAACATAACAGGTTCATAACCAAAACAAGTACCCTTCAAATATAATTAAAGCATAAATAAAAGGGCGAAAATATATCCTACATCTCTTGAAAATTCTCCTGAACACCACCACTGCAAACATCCCAGTTCTGTAGGTAACAGATTAAGACGACTCAGACTCACTCTGTGATCTTGGGGTCCAGGTTGCCAATCCATAACCGGTGCCCTTCCTGCAGGGAACCCTCTGAAAGGATGGATGCGTTCTCCAGGGGAAGAGTTTTGATTTCCGCTTCCATCAATCTCTATGAAAGACTAAAGAAAACGTGAGCATTCATTCAGGCAGGAGAGGAGCGACATTGTGTAAACATGAGACTTCAAGTTCAATTCAACAAACATTTATGCAAGGAGGGCAAGCCCCGGGCAGTTCTTCAAAGACCTCAGTAATTCCACAACCAGGGCCCCAGCACCAGTTCCCTTGGGACAGCTCCTCTGGCAGCCAGAGCACGCAAGAGCTTCCATTTAAGGGGAAAGGGGTGTGGTTCTGTGTGCAGAGACTAAAGTTTTCCTCTTTTGAAGCCAGAGGCCGATGGGGCAGAAGGCCAAAGTCTTTATTACTACATGATACTCCAGTTCAAAAACTGTCACCCAAAATAAGTCTTGGAAACCACCAGAAAGAAAGTCTTAATGGCACTGAGGGAGATGGGTGGGAAAGAGCAGCTATACATCTCTTCATGGAAAAGGCAAGACAGGAAATTTAAAGCCGTAGATACAGGAGTTAGCACTGGGTTTGAAAGCAGGTTGTGTCACTTGGTGAACTGCAGAACATTCTAGGCTTCTGTTCCTTCACATATACTATGACTGGAAATAACAGTTTTTATCTTACAGGGCTGTTGTGAAGAGTAAAGATAACGCATGAAAAATCATTAAACACTGCATCTAACAACAGGAAGCAATCAATAAACGTTCGCTAGTATCGTGTTTAATATTTTGGAAGAGACCAACTTCCTCCTTAATCATTCCAGGTCCATTTACTAGCTGCATAACCTTGTGCAAGCAGATTCACTGAGTTAACACACCCAAAGCATTAAGAACCTCGTATGGCACCTAAGGAGTTGTCAACGAACGTTAGCTTAAATTATTACTAGTCTTCGATCCAGAAATGACTCATCTCACAATCAAAGGAGGAGGATGAGGGTGATGATGGAGACAGTAGTGGCAAAAGAAAAAAACACGGGTGCCAGAAGACCTGGTTTCAAATTCTGGCCTTTCCATTGGAAGTCACTTCTTTCTAAGAGTGTTTCCTCATTTCTACATACTACACCTTGCCCTGCTTGTAACTGAAGGTTGCTGAGAGGACCAAAAAATGAGACGACAGATGTAAAACAGAGCTCTTAACAAGTGTTATCGTGTGGTAGAGCAAGAAAAAAGGGTTGGGAAGATGGCAGGCTGTGCCAGACTTCGAACTCCTTGCTCTAGGAAACATGTTGTGTACTCTGTAACCAGATGTGCCTCAGAGAGTAGTTCTTGCAGGAACTGTCCGAAAAATATCAGGTGACATATATTGACCACTGCCACTACCTCTTACTCATCTCAGCAAAGCCCATGAAGTCCGGTACACAGCGGGCCCTGAGGTAACTGCTAAACACATTTATCTAGCCCGACACACGAGGGTATTCTTCTACCTTTCGCACGCACGTGTTCAATCTGTCCAACTGTGCATGACAAGCGACTGCTAACTGCTAAACCCAGTGCTATGTGCTGAAAACAGAGAAATTAATAAGCTGGTAGTTCCTGCTCTTCCCTCTGGAGACAGAGAAACATGAAAAACACACAGAATCCCAGGAGTAGAAACAGACCAGGAGAAACATTGTGTCTTCTCCCTGCTTTCCTTTCTTCCTATTTTCCTTTTTTTTAAATATATTTTTTAATGTTTTATTTATTTCTAGGAGAGAAGAGAGAGACAGCGTGAGCAAGGGAGGGTCAGAGAGAGATGGAGTCACAGACTGAAACAGGCTCCAGGCTCTGAGCTGGCAGTCAGCACAGAGCCCGACGCGGGGCTCGAACCCACGAACCGCGAGATCATGACCTAAGCGAAAGTTGGACGCTTAACCGACTAAGCCACCCAGGCGCCCCCTTCCTATTTTCCTACAGATCATTCATTCATTCATCCCCGAAAGAAAAACTGAGCCTCTATTTCTAGGCATTGTCCAGGACAGAGCAGTGAACAAATAAGGCCTCTGCACTTGGAATGCTATGTTTGGAAAAGGGGCGAGGCAGTACAAAAACAAGATAAATAAACAAGGTATAAATTAGCCGCAGAGTTGCAAACCCAATTAAGCAAGGTGTTCTGACATGGCAACTGGGATTGACCTGCTTCAGAATTAGTGGAGAGGGAAGGCCTCTCTAAAAAAGGCATTTGCAATGAAGCTTCAATCATTGGACCCCCCTCTCATTGGATCTTGAAATCATTGGATTTTCTCATGTCTGAAAACAGCAATACCAACTACTACTTAATATGACAAGAGGGTAGCATATTTTAGTGGCAAGAGTGAGGGATATGTGGCTGAAAGATCTGTATTCAAATACTGGCTTTTGCACCCGGTTATTGTGTGACTTAAAGTGCCTTTTCAGAAAAGCTCTTCCTAAGAGTAGAGCTCGTTAGTCTCTGTCATAGCCACCTTTTCTTTCCGTATAACGCTCATTCAACGTTATTTACTATTCTATCTTGTGTTTCCCTCACTAGAATGTGAGCTCCTGGAGGGCCCTGCCTATCTATTCTGATCATAGTTCCATTCACAGCATTTAGTACACTGCTTGGTGTTCAATATTAACTGAATGAATGAATGAGGCGCCACTTGGAGCCTCATTTTCTTCTTCCTTTCTAGAATGGACACTATTATCCCTAACTCATGGGTCGCTGAGAGGTTTAAATCAAGAGTGTCTGTGACATTTCAGCACAGGGCCTTTCGTAAAAGTGTAATGAGATCAAGATGGCATGCGACTACCAAAATCTTTTAGGTCTGCAATGGCGACAACCCCCTCGATTAACAGAGTTCACAAAAACGCTGTTCCATCTATCCTCGCAGCTGACCTGCAACCGCCTAGAAGACAGGAATAATCATAATCATACGGAGAATAAGGTCCAGAGAAGCGAAGACACTTGTTCCTAAAGCCAACGGTAACAGCAGGGTCAAGCCTGGAACCCCGGCTCCCGATTCCTGGCCGCGAATTCCCAGATGCGATGGCTCATTCCCCGGATTGTTATTTCCGGGCCAGCGGCGGGACAATCCGGGGCGGGGCCTGAGAAGCCGTCTTGGGTAGGGCGGCCTCCTCTATGAGCCCCTCGCGGGGCCGGGGTTCAGGTGCAAGGGCGCCTCGCGGCCGGACTCACCTCGTGGCCTCGGCGTCGTCCCCTCGGCTCATGCCCCAGAAGCAGGTCCCGACTCCACGGCCCGACGGCCCTCCAGACGCATCCACCTCAACGCCACCGGCTACCAGGCCGTCGGTGACGCGCTACGCCTGCGCCGCCGCGCCGCCCCGTGACGTCATGGCGCCCGCGCCGCCGCCGTCCCTGCGGTCGCGTGGGTCTTTTCCTAGTAGCCTGGGCGATAGCTGGTGAGTGGCCTCTGCACGGCCTCGAGGCGCGCGCTGAATCCGGGTGCCAAAGACCTCCACTCAAGGATCTCTGGGGGACCTTAGGGAGTCTGATCGCCGTCCCATGACCGGTTCCATTGGAGTCCGGCTTGACCTTTAAGGCTGGGGGCGGGACCTGTCGCTTCCGAGAGAGTTTCGTGGGGTGGGGGCGGGGCTCGTCCCCTCAGCTACGAACTTCGTGGATGCAGAGAGGAGGGAGGTTACGCAATAGCTGCTGCTTCTTTGTAGCCCACTATCTGGCAGGAACATTTAGTGTTCAGAACAATCCCGTGGGGGTAGGTATTATTAACCCCCATGATGAAAAAATGGAAGCTCAGAAAAATAACTTTATCAGGGTCGTGTGGCTAGTAAGGGATGGAGCTGAAATTACAAAGCCTCCACTTTTAACCATTACTCTGTGTCTTTCCTCAGCAAACTGTTGTCGTTTCAATAGCTGTTCTCTAGTTACAAAGTATTTCTGCAGCCCTTACCTCATTCGATCTTCCTGGTAACCCTGACAAAGAGTATTGTCATCTACATTTCACCGAGGTGATTGAGGTCCAGAGAGTTTGACCTGAGGTCACAAATCTATGAAGTGCTAGAACCAGGACTCTTTCCCAGGTCTTCTCTAAGTTTGGTGCCTTTTTCCTTTCACTACACTCTATTGCATTTTCCAGAATCTTGGAGAGCTTTATAGTTGGGAGGAATGAAAACCTGAACTCACCCTTCATTTTGTAGTTGAGGAAACACAGTCTAGGTCAGAGAAATGGTTTGGTACAAGTCACGGTGTCAGTCGTAGAGCTGCCACAAAAGCTGTTTGTAATACAGGTGGTTATGAATCTAAAGAGGATTGTTGGCAGGGATAGGAATACTGGGATCTGTACCTTCTAGCTCTTAGGCAAAAGCTCTTTTTCTACCTCTGAAAGTGGGTCATCCTCCTTCGGCTACATCAGAGACATGGTTCTATACTATAGTCATGATACTGTGGATAGTCAGATACTATATAGTCAATTTCTACAAATACCTGTACATGGTTCTGAATTTAGGGAGCATACCCTACTATCTCTATGTGAAAAATCTGGCAAACCAAAAGATGATCGATGCACTATTAGGAAGTAGAGCCCAGCACCTTCAGTCTGAGGCTTAGATTCCAGATCTTGCACCATAATTGTGACCTTGGGCAAGGACTTAATTTCTCTGGACTTTAATTCATGTATTCATCACTCATGTTCAGTGTCTTCGGTATTCAGGGACTGTGCTACACTGGATGTACAGCAGTGAACAATAGAACCATACATAGATCTGTCCTCATAGTGGTTTATAGTCTCAGGGAGGGATGTAGGCAGTGACCAAATAACTTCACAGATATTAGCTGATACAGTTTAAGGGCCACGAAAAAGTATAGGGTGTTAGTGAAAGTGGGCTACAGGACATTTGACCTAGTTGGACTGGAGGAGAGAGCCAAGAAAGGCATCCTCTGAGAAAGTGATGCTTAAGCTGAAATCTGAAAGAAAAATGAGAAGTGGTTCATTAAAGAGGTGGGGGAAGATCATTCCAAGTAGATTCAACTTCAGTATTATGTTTGAAGACCCAGGAGCAGGAGGAATATTCAAGGAAATGAAAAATCATTTTGCTTATTTGTAAAATGTGGGTGTTAATTATGAATCTGGTCATCAGATAATATATGTGAAGTCATTTTATGTACAGTGAGGACCCACATCCATGTTTATAAAAATGTACATATTATAAGCTAATAACAGCTAGATTGTGAGAAGTTGCTGGGAAAATGGATAAGCTAGAACTTTGGGTCCCTTATCTAGTTCTTTCCAAAATTAAAATGCACCTTCTATGGAAAACAGACAAAGACAAGTTTTGAGAACCTTAACTTTGGAAAAACAATATATGCCTCAAGTAGTTTTAAAAAATACTTCAACAGTTTTCAATAATAACGTGAGTAATTGCTCTGAGTGTTTCACATATGTAATAGTATACAGTGTACTGGTTAAGAGTACGGACTCTGGAGCTCGATGGCCTGAAATCTAATCTTGGGCAAATTAGTTATCTGTACCTTTGTTTCTTCATCCATAGAATGGGTATGCTAATAGTACTTATTTCATAGTGATGTCATGAGGCTCAAATGACTTAATGTATGCAGTACAGCACTTAGAATTATTTCTGGCACATAGCTGTATCTCTGTGTTAGCAGTTGTTTCTTTATTAGTGTTGTAATTATCTTTTTAAAGACTCATTAATATCACCACAGTAAAAATGGGATGGAAACTGTAGCTCAGAGAGGCAAAATGATCTATGCAAGGTCACAGAGCCCCTAAGTGTGGGATTCCAGTTCAAGACTGTGTCCAAAGCCCAGATATTTCCTCACATGTTTTTCAGAGTTTAGGTTAATTTTGCTGGTCAATACCTGGGCTCCTGTGACAGTCCCTTTCCTCAACTTTAACTCTTCCATGCTGAACTGTTAATATGCATGTCCTTAAGGTAAAAGGGCCCGAGGGACTGCCTTTATTGACTTCCACTTTGAAATTTCCTGACTTCTGTGCAATTAAAATCTACGCCTAAAACATTTCAGCAATGTGGTTTATTTATAGAGTTGTCTTCCGGTTCACATGTACTGGGTCTGCTTTTGGGTGCTGCATTTTCTGTCAAAGGTTGTTTATTTCTAACCCATTTTGATTTCCTGTTGCTTTGTGGATTGGTATTATGACCTGCAACAGGAACACCAGGAAACCTGTCTTAAACGGAACAGCCAGATTGAGATGCTGTAGATTAAAAAAACAAAAAGACAAAAAAACACATTATTATACAGCCATATTTGGATATAAGTGTGGGTAAGGCATTGGCTATATTAGAAAAATCTAGATTTAGAAACCTCACTTAGAGCCAAATTTTATGAACCATTTTGCCAAAATAGGGCAGAGCTATTAGTTCCGTGCCCTTGGACAGTGACAGTCTCTTTGAGCATCAGTTTCTACATCTGTAAAATGGAGATTATTTTCTTTGTGGCATTATTGGGAGGATCAGACACAGGTAAAGCAAGCAGCCCAGGCCTGACTTCAATTAATAGTAGCTATTGATAATTAAGGAAGAGGAAAGATACCTTTAAAATCCAGATTTGCTTTTACTGACTTCATGCGCTAGTCACTGACATCTAGCATCCCTTGCTATTAAACATTCCAGCAGGAGAAAGAAACCAACTCCATCAGGAGAAATTATTTGCCTTTGTTTCACTCATTTGCTTTTCTTTTAAGAAAATAATAATAATGGTAGCTAGCATTTATTAAATGGGTACTGCATTCCTGGCACTGTGCCAGATGTTTTACATGCATTTACTATCTCAAGATCGGGATTATTTTTCTCATTTTGCAGATGAAGAAAGGGATGCCCAGACAGGTGCAGTAAATTGCCCAAAGTTGAAATTTACATCCAGATCTGACTGACTAGGCTATCTTGTACATTAGTAAAGACATGCACGATTCTTTATCGTGTCTGACCCTTGCATAGAAGTCTTTTTGAAAGGAAAGGTGATAGCTATCAACAGATGCTCTTTTGGGGGTCTCTTGCTCTCAGCTGGGCACTGTGCCAATTATCTTACCTGCATAAACTCATTTATTCTTTCCAACCCTAAGAAAAAACTATAATGATCCCCATTTTGCAGTTAAGGAAAGGAAGGTGCAGAGATGTTCAGGGACGTTTAGTCAGTGGTGGAGCTGGGATTGGATCGCAAGTCTTCCTGGCTGCAAAGTACATGCTTTTTTTCAGTTCTGCTGCATTTACATTTTATTTGTTTAATTTAAAAAATGTTTGTTTAATTTTGAGACCGCGAGAGACAAGAATGCAAGCTGGGCAGGGGCAGACAGAGGGAGACACAGAATATGAAGCAGACTCCAGGCTCTGAGTGGTCAGCACAGAGCTCGATGCAGGGCTCAAACTCACCAACTGTGAGATCATGACCTGAGCCTAAGCTGGACTCTTAACCGATTGAACCACTCAGGTGCCCCTGCATTAACATTTTAGGATGGGATTCTTTTTCTTTTTAATGAGGTGTAGGACTGATTTTCAAAGATAGTAGCTTCCAGGTATTTGATGCTAATTGCTCTTGGTTTTAACTGAGTGATAGCCAGATTCCTGGCAGAAGCTAGCTGTAGGCTCCAGCATCTTTTCATGGTAGGAGACCTTAGAAGTATAATGTATAACTTGTGTTAACACAGAGGAGGGTGGCATTTTCCAGAGCTTTAGTTCTGTAACATGGAAGACCTCAAACCTCAACTGTGCTTCAGACTCACATTAAAGTAAAGTGCATTCTAATTGGTAATCAGTGCATAAGGAACCAAAGAAAATTTTAATTAAATGCTGTCGTGTGAATTTTCCAGTCATTTTATGCCTTTTGAAATGATTTTTTTTTTATTTAAAGTCCTCTTCCAGTGCTCTGCCCTCCCTTTTTATACTATAACTTTATCAAGATTTTTTGCCTTTTCTCACGTAAGGGTTTAATTAGCATCATTGAAGATTTAGGCTGCTGCACATTTACTTAACTCTGTGTTCCCTGTGTACTGTAAGAGGCATTTGGTACAGTGGAAAGAGCCTGGTGATTTGGAGTCCTACAGACTATGGGCAAGTTACTTAAATCTCCATGAGCTTCAATATCTTCCTGTAATATGGGGATAATCGTATTTCCTTGTATGACTGTTGGGAGGAGGTAATATATTTAAATTGCCTAGCACATAGCTTAGTTTGCAGTTGTTACTTGATAATTGGTACAAATTATTTTTTGAGGTTGTAATACAATCTGTTTTACTTAGATCTCTCTCTCTCTCTTTTTTTTTTTTTGTCTTACTCTTTTTAGTGAATGTTCACAAGGATTGTCTTCAGTCATGGCCTTGGGTTTAAGATGCTTCCGCTTGGTCCACCCTGTCTTTTGTAACTCCCTTGCAGCCTTGACCAGACCTGCCTTGGAAGTGACGCCGAAGACAGTGAGTGGCAGACAAAATGACCGTGGGCAATACATGGCCTCACCAGCTGTACCAGTCCGTCATTTTGCTACCAAGAAAGCCAAAGGTAGAGATATATGACCTCTTCACCCTTTTCTTGCATTTAGCCCTTTGAACTGTCTTAGCTGCAAGGGATCTCTGAGATGTACTGAATTTCTCCCCTTGGGAAAGAATGAGGAGATGATGTCTCAGACAGTTCAGTTGATCAGCTTAAAAGATATCACAGGGACAGAGACACTATTCGAACTAAGTCTCTTTCTTTGCCCATTACCAGGTGGCCTCCTATGTTACCAGTGCTCAGAATATACCTGATTTCCTTCTTTTAGTTTTAGAATTAGAGATGTAAGTGCCAAGCAAACCAGAATATTTGCGGCAGAGATCAACATAGTTTCTCCTTATACCAAGCAAGACCTATGTTGGAAGTAAAATTAAAACCAGAAGTTTGTTGGGTGAGGAGGTATTAGAGCCATGGATTTAGATGGATGATCTTAATGGTTTGTGTCATCCAAGAATGAGACTTTGATATGCCGCAGGTCTCAGCTTAAATGTTGCTTCCTCAGGGAAGTCCTCTCTGACCCCTTAGACTGGGTCAGGTCCCTTGTTACGTGCACTCTTGTGCACTGTTATTTTACCTTTGACGTCCTTAGCACAGCACCCATTAATTAATCAATTAATTGTGAGATTAATTCTTGTTTGTTCTATGTCTTCTATGCTGGACCCTATGAGAATAGGGTCTGTGTCTTGTTTAGTACCTAACAGGGCATGACACATAGTATGTATCAAAAAATGCTGTTGAATGAATGAAGGAATGACAGAAAGCACTCCTTAGCACACCGGAAAGCACACATGCTATTTGCAGTGTGGGTCAGGGAGTCCATTCCCAAGGATGGTACTGGAAATACGCTGCTGAGTATTTTTTCCATTGACTTTCCTTTTATGGTTTCATATGGACACTCCCTTTTCTATTAATAGGAAAATTAACAAATTGCTGAAAGAGCATTAATACTTAGAAGATTTATATTTTGTTAATAGTGATAATGGTAACTTTTAATCTGTATGTTGCACTGATTTTTTTTAATTTGCATATTTAATAATTTGATTTTTATTATTATCCATTGGAAGAATTATTATTATGTAATAAAGACATTTTTATAATTATCTGGTGAAGCACAAATCTCACCATTTGCAAATGAGGAAACCGAGGAACCTATGTAAGATGTTTGTCCATGGTCACATCTACATAGTGGCAGAATTAGGAATGAGGGTGGGGTGGGGGTGGGGGGCTCCTGATGCACACATTAACTATAGTATGTAAGCAGCTTTTCATATTTAATTGGCTGCTCAGTTTTTAACTCTTATGATTACCTCTTTAAAAAGTTGGTTGTTTGACTTTTTCTTTTAAATTTATTGGATTCCTTCTGCATTAGGAATGAGAGTCCTTTGTTGACTGTGTATGTTATAGCTGTCTGCTTTGCTTTTTACTTAATGGTATCTTTTGTTGACCATAAGTTTTACTGTGGTCCTATTTTTTTAGTCCTTTCCTTTATCATTTGTACTGTTTGTGCCTTATTTAACTAATCCTTATCTATCCATAGTCATAAAGCTATTCTTCTATATTTTCTTCTAAATATTTTAAAGATTTTTACTTTTCATGGGTTTTGAATCCATATGGAATTTATTTTTGAAGGTGTTGTGAGACTGGGAATCTAGTTTTAAGTTTCTTTTTTGTAATGGGTCATATGTTATGTCAACATCACTTATTCATTTGCCCAGATTTGTAATGCCGCCTCTGTCGCATGTTAAGTGTTTTGTTGATTTTGATTGATTTTGTTGAATTACTTATCTCTTCTTGATCTAAATTCCTTACTCTCTGAATCACTGTCATAAAGCCTTGAATCTAGTGGTACAAATCTTTCCCCTCACCATACACACACACATTTTCTGGCCTTTCATTCTTGTATATGAAATTTATAATCATCTTGTTAGTTTTTCCTCCATAAAGATTTTATACCTTTCTTTGTTCAGCTTTATTTCTGGGGTATTGTCATTTTGGTCACATACATATTTTTTTATGAAATAAATTTTGGGGTTATAACATATATGCAGAATAGTACATACATTCATCCTAAGTAGTTACAGTTGAGAGAATTCTCACAAAGTGAACACAGCCTTATAACCGTCACCCACGTCAAGATATAGAACATCACTCATAAGCTTCCTGCCTGTCCCTTTCAGTTGTCACCCTTTAAGAGATAACCCGTTTTAGGTCGTTAGCCTTACAGGTTAGGTTTTCCCTGTTGGAACTCACTGTAGCTTCTTTCGTGCCTGGCTTCCTCTGATAACAGTGTCTGTGAGATTTGTCCACGTTGTTGCTGCGTGTAGTAGTTGAATGCATTTTTATTTCTTTGCGGCATCCTGCTGAAGGCTTATACCACAACTTGTGTATGCTTTGTTCAGTTTATGGGCATTTGGGTTGCTTCCAGTTTTGAACTGCAAGTAAATAACTCTACTGTGAACATGCCTGTATACGGATTTTGGTGCCCATATATATATATATCTTCTTGTTGCTGTACATATACCAAGAGGTGGGATGGCCGGGTCTTCCGAGGATGCGTATATTCCCTTTCAGCGCATACAGTTCTCCAGAATGGTGGTGCCAGTTTATACTCCTGCGAAAAAGGTGTTAGCTTTCTCTTTTATTTCTAGCCACTCTGATGAATGTGTGGTTTTATCTCATTGTGGTTTTAATTTGTCATTTCTTGATGGGTAATGATGGCGAGCACCTTTACATTTGTTTATTGGCTCTTTGTATATCCTCTTTCCAGGCTTTTGCCCATTAAAAAAACTCAGTTGCTAGGAGTTTCAGTATATTCTAAAGATAAGACTTCTGTCATATGTACATACTGCTGATATGCTTGCCTTTTCAGTCTTTAAATGGTGTTTTGTTTTCAAGTTTTTATTTAAATTCTAGTTAATTAACATATAGTGTAATATTGGTGTCAGGAGTAGAATTTAGTGATTCATCACTTACATTTAATGGTGCCTTTTGATGAATAGAAGTTCTTAATTTTAAGGTAGTCCATTTTATCAGCCTTTACCTTTATGGATAATGCTTTTTTTTTTTTTTTTTTTCCAGTTTAAGAAAAATGACCCTACCTTCAGGTCATGAGTGGATCTATTGTATTATTTTATGGAAGATTTGTTTTTTTTTTAATTCATATCTTTTTTAAAGATAGTATGTTCTGTTTGGTGTTGGTAAACAGGAACACTTTTGGTTATTATAAACTGATCTGATATCTTGCAACCTTGAACTCTTTTATTAGATCTATTATTTGTATATTCTTTTGGATTTTCTGATAATTATGATACCTGTAAATAATGGTATCTCTGTTTTTTCCCTTTCTAATCTATATACTTTTTCTCTCTCCCCTCTCTCCCTTTCTTCCTCCCTCCTCCCTCCCTTCTCTCTTTCTAACCACATTGGCTAGGAACTCTAATATAATTTGAATAAATGTGATGGATGATAGTAGGCATCCTTGTTATATTTCTGACTTTATAAGGAACACTTCTCATATGTTAACATCAAGAATTATGCTTGCTTTATTTTTCAGTAGTCTCTCTTTTAAGAAAATATCTTCTATCCCTATTTTGTTAAGAATTTTTGTTTTGAATGGGCATTAAGTTTTTATCATGTGCTCTTCCTGCATTTATTGAGACGATCATCTATTTTTTAAAATTTTGTAATCTACTAATGGGGTGACTCAACATCAGTAGCTCTTTCTGATGTTAAACCACTTTAGCATTTTTGGTATGAGCCTTGCTTGCTTTTGATATATAGTTTATATGTACATTGCTTGATACATAATCTGTATATATGTTATTGGATTTGGTCTACTAATATTAATTTAGGATTTTTGAGTCTATACCTTTATGTTAGATTAGCCTTAACATAAGTCTCTGATATTGACAGGTATAACTTTCTAGCATTTCCTTGTCCGGTTTAGGTATCAAAACTATATTAGTCTCATGATGTGAGTTGAGGAGTTCATCTTTGTCTCTCTCTCTCTGTGGGATCGTCTGTATAAGACCAGGATTAATCAGTTCCTTACACGATTGTTAGAACATGCCTGTGAAATTTGGATCTGGTATTGTATGTGGGCAGGCTTTAAATCATAGATTCAGTTTCCTTAATGATTATGATGCTGTTTAGATGTTCTTTTTTTTCTTGAGTTAGTTTTAGTAAATTATGTATTTTTAGGAAATTTTTTTTTATTTCTGTTTTCGAAGTTGTTGGCATAAAGTTGTCCATAATCGCCTCTTATTATTAAAATCTTTAATGTTTTGGTAACTGTCTTCTCTTTTTCTTTCTTTCTTTTTTTTTTTTTAAATGGTTTATTTATTTCTGAGAGAGAGACAGCGTGAGCAGGAGAAGGTCAGAGAAAGAGAGAGACACAGAATCTGAAGCAGGCTCCAGGCTCTGAGCTAGCTGTCAGCACAGAGCCTGACGCAGGGCTCGAACCCACAAACTGAGATCATGACCTAAGCCGAAGTCAGATGCTAAACCGACTGAGCCACCCAGGCGTCCGTATCCTTTTCTTTCTTAATCGATTTGTGTACTACCTTTTTTCCTCAGTTATTCTTGACAGAAGTGTTTTGGTTTCATAAGCCTTTTAAGAAAGAGATTTTAATTTTGTTGATCTGTTATTTTTGGTTTATTGACTTCTGGTCTTTATTGTTTATTTTCTCCCCTGTCCTTTTTCTATCCTTTGAACTGGACAGTTCATGAATTTAAAAAAAAAAAATTTTTTTTTTAGCATTTATTCACTTTTGAGAGACAGAGAATGAGTGGGGAGGGGCAGAGAGGGAGACACAGAATCTGAAACAGGCTCTGAGCCGTCAGCACAGAGCCCGATGTGGGGCTTGAACCCACAAACTGTGAGATCATGACCTGAGCTGAAGTCAGATACTTAACCGACTGAGCCACCCAGGTGCCCCGACAGTTCATTAATTTTAACCTTTGCTCTTTTCTTGTTAAGTGTATAAAGCTATAAACTTCTACCTAAATACAGCTTCAGGTGGCTAATGGAAGTTTTAGGTATATAGTATTTTTATTATTTTTTTCTAAATATTTAAAATTTTCATTATGTGTTTTCCTTTAGTCCATGACTTATTTTGAAGTGTTTAAAATTTTTCAAACATGTTTTTTGGAGAATTAGCTTAATCCCACTGTGATCAGAGAATGTGTCCTATATGATACAGATTCTTTGATATTTATTGAGATTTGCTTTGAGGGATAGAACATGGTCATTTTGTATAAAGATCCAAGTATGCTGAGAAGAATGTGTATTCTCTTATTGCTGGGTGCAAGATTGTATATATGACCATTAGACTGAGTTGGCTAATTGTGTTGATCAAATTTTCTTTTTTTTATTTGCTCAATTTATCAGTTATGAAGAAAAGTATTTTGGATGTCTTTGTATGATTGTAGATTCATCAGTTTCTCCTTTTAATTCCATGAATTTTGAGGCTATGTTACGTGGTATATTTAAGCTCAGAATGGTAATAATCTTTCTGGGTGAATTTTTTCTGTTGTCATTATGAAGTGGTCTTCATTTTTCCTAAAGTGCGTGTTGTCTTAAAATCTGTTTTTAGCTGTTGATATAACTGTATCAGCCTTCTTTTGTTTAATATTTTCCAGGGTTATTTTTCCATTCATGTACATTAAACTTTCTGTAATCTTATGTTTTTGTAAAACTTCTTATGTATATATTTATATGACTAGATTTTAAAAAATCTTACTGAGAATCTCTAACTTTTATTTTTTAAATAGATGGAGGTTTTTAATGTTTATTTATTTTTGAGAGAGAGAGAGAGAGAGAGAGAGAGAGAAAGCACGTGCAATAAGGGGAGGAGCAGAGGGAGAGAGAGCATCCCAAGCAGGCTCCACGCTCAGTGTGGAGCCTGATGTGGGGGCTCAATCTCATGACTGTTAGATCATGACTTGAGCTGAAATCAAGAGCCGGACACTTAACTGACTGAGCCACTTAGAGGCCCTGAGAGTCTCTAACTTTTAAGTCATCTTCTTGGTCTGTGTCTATGTATTGTGATTACTGAGTATTTGTATATCTACCATTTTATTTTTTACTTTATCATAGTTTTCTTTGTTTTTTCTCCTCCTTTCTATTGAATTAACCAAAAAATTTTTATTTATTTTTTTTTATCTCTGCTGATTTGGAAGTTATACATTTTATTTCTCATTGTTTTAGAAGTTACCCTTAATTTCTTTTTTTAACTTGTTATAGAAATTAAAAGGCACCTATAGAAATGTGCAGCTATCATAAGAAACAGCTTGGTCATTTTCACAAACTGAAAACACTTGTGTGTAATCAGCACCCAGATCAAAAACCAGAAATTCCCAGAACGTCAGAAGTCCCCTTTATGCTCTTTTCTAGTAATTTACTACCGCCTACTCCTTGCAGGTAACTATTATTCTGACTTCTAATGTCGGGATTAGTTTTGTCTGTATATTCTTGTATCTGGCTTCTATACTGCACACTCTGTATTCTAGTGTCTAGCCTCTTTGCTCAACAGTATGTTTGTGAGATTTATTCTGTGCAGTTGTAGATCTTTTTTTCCCATGGCTATATACTATTTCATTCGTATTATCCATCTTAGTATTGATGGGCATAACTTAAATTTTTTTCTTTTCTTTTCTTTTTTTTTTTTTTTTTTTTTTGACAGAGAGAGAGAGACAGAGACAGAGCATGAGCAGGGGAGGGCAGAGAGAGAGGAAGACACAGAATCTGAAGCAGGCTTCAGGCTCTGAGCTGTCAGCACAGAGCCTGACTTGGGGCTCAAACTCATGAACTACGAGATCATGCCCTGGCCAAATGGACTGAGCCACCCAGGCGCCCACTTAAAATTTTTAACATACATTCTTAGTTTAGAAAATCTGAGGGCGCCTGGGTGGCTTAGTCGGTTAAGCGTCCTACTTTCGCTTAGGTCATGATCTCGCGGTTCGTGGGTTTGAGCCCCGCGTCGGGCTCTGTGCTGACTGCCAGCTCAGAGCCTGGAGCCTGTTTCAGTCTGTGACTCCCTCTCTCTCTGACCCTGCCCTGCTCACGCTGTCTCTCTCTCCTAGAAATAATAAAACATTAAAAAAAAAAAAAAAAAAGAAAATCTGAAGTTAAAGATACTATTTCCATTGTTTCTAGCTCCTGTTGTTGCTTGGAAAGTATGCTGTTACTCTAAATTTTGATCCTTTATAGATAATTTATCTATTATCTTTGGCTCTTTTCAAGATTTCTTTGTCCGTAGTTTTCTGCATTCATAGGATGTCTAGGTATGAATTTACTTTTATTATCTTGTTTGGAACTTGTGTTTCTGAATCTGAAGATTCTCATCTTTCATCATTTCTGAAAATACTAAGCCATTATTCTGTTAAGAGCAATAAGGTTTCAAACATGGTGGTGACACAAGCCAATAAATATTTTTAAAAAATCACTCTGCTGCTTACTGGTTGGTACTTTGGGAACACATTTAAATTACTTGTGCTATAGATTTCTCATCTCATCTCCCTGTACAGTGGGAGCGGTAATAATATCTGTTCTTCCTACCTCCAAGAGCTGCTTTGATAATCTAATGGAAGAATGTACTTTAAATTGCATTGCAAATTATAACATGCTATACAAATATCACAGTATTTAGCTCTCTGTAGATGTTCAGTAGAATTTGTTATGAATGAATCTCAGTAACTATTTGTTGAATTGTTAACAAATAAACAAGTGTAGGATAGTAGTAGTACTTAACATTTTTATTCTTTTTTCCCTTCTCCTAACTCCTACAAAGAAATGCAGGAATATTTGTATACTCATGGGAGTGATCTATATACATAGAACATAAATGAAAAATCACCATGGTAGCTTAGGCAAAAAATAGGATTTTATTCAGCTCCCATTGCTGTTGATTTTTCAGGAACATAAGCCATTGTTATCACCACTGTTGGTGTTTAATATCTGTAACTACTGTTGTTCCTTTTGTCTCTACCAGCTATCAGATACTTTGCATATCCTTGTCTTAGTATTCATTTTAAAATGAACTAATATATTTCCTGTGTCTCCAATTAGATTGTATAGAGACAATCTAATGGAAAGTTCGTGGGTTTAAAATCAGGCAGATCTGAGATCAGATCTTGGCTTTATTATTTCATGACCTTGTGACATTAGGCAAGTCACTTTGCCTTTCTCATCTTCTGTTTATTTTTTTAAAAAATAAGGAATTAATTCATTTATGGAGTGCCTGCCATGTGGATAGTGCTCTTGTAGGTATTTGAATTACTTAATTTGTATCAGAGCAACCTGGCAATATAGATATTATCCCTGTTTTATAGGGAAGGAACCTGATACTCAGAAAAGCAGAGTAACTTGCCCAAAGTCATAAAACTGGTCAGCACGATAGCCAGGATTTTCACCTGGGGTGTTTCATTATAAGGCCTGCACCTTCACTAGTACCTCAGGAAGTGATCAGCACAATGCTGGGTACCCAATGGGGAATAGATGTAGGCTCTTTTGTAGGGCACTGAAAACATGCAGTTTTTTAGCACTTGGCATCTTTCCCTGCACTTCGTAGGCATTTCTTACCTAATTGTTTATTGTCTCTGTTTCTGCCATTGTTCCTTTATTCACTGATTGTTGACTTTCTAGCCAAAGGGAAAGGACAGTTCCAAACCAGAGTGAATCTTAATGCTGCCTTGGTTGAGGATATAATCAGCTTGGAAGAGGTGGATGAAGAAATGAAGTCTGTGATGGAAGCACTGAAAGATAATTTCAATAAGACTGTCAATATACGGACCTCACCAGGTTAGTGCCTGAACCGATGTCTTGGAGAGGGGCATGTGCAAAGACCATGGCTTTGGCAGAGGTGGGTTTCAATCCTAGCTTTGTGACTTACCAACTGGTGACCATGGGCAGTTACTTTACTTTTCTGGTCCTCAGTTTCCTTGTCTGATTCCCAGCTTATAGCTCTGGGGTGAGTATCAAAGTAAGTGAGGTGACATAGGTAATGGTTCGGGCACAGTGCCTAGCTCATAGTTAATACTACGTTTATTTGTCATTCAGCAAATAGTTGTCTACTATGAACTAAGTATTGTGCTGGTCCACAGTGGTGAACAAAAGTAGGGATGGTCTTTGCTCTCATGGAATTGCACTCTCAAAACATGGGATTTTTATTATGATTATACTATATAAACACTTCTAGGTGTTCAGTCTCACAGTAACTGACATCTTTGGTCTGATTTTTCCAATTTGTCCTATTTGGCCATTCTTACCCCTTACTGGGAACCAAGTGGCTGCAAACCTATCCATCTGAGCCATTTCTGTACCCCTGAGCTTGACCAGGAAGATTCCGTTTGGGTTAATAACTTCCTGAAAGTGGCTTTTCTAAGTGGGAAATGTCAGAACTGTCTAGGAGAACTGTTTGCAGATGTGATGGAAGAAGTGAGTTGTCAGCTAATGGTGCAGGCAGGCAGGAAAAATCCAATTGCTGTTAAATTGGCCTTTTGGAAATTGTCATCATCCTAGAGTCAAGCCTGGGACCCCCTCTGAAGGTATCTCTAGGAGCTTGGGCTGCTCCCACTCACATCTTGGCTGGGATAGTTCCTAAGGAAACTGTAAAATATTTCATGAACTTGTTCTTAAGAAAACCAAGTGAAAAATACACAGCTCCATTTATAAACACCAGCAGAAACATACTGAGTTCAGAGACGAGATCCTGTGTGAAATCAGAAGACCATTCCGTCATTTGTCAACCTTTGGAGTGGGGGCATTTCTGCCTTTGCTGACAGTAGAGCGTGCCATTCAATCTCTCCCAACTGTTTATTTTAAACTTGCTTATTATTTTAGGTATGAAACTGATAAAGTGCTTTGTCTCCCCTGTGCTTTCTGGCCTGTTAACATTCTGCAGCCGAAACCAGAGAGCAGTTTGAGAGGAGCTCAGGGAGAAATGTGATACTTAAAATTAGCCAGCAAGCTCCACTCTTGTTGAACTTAAAAAGATGATGGGCCTGGAAAGGGGTTGGGAGTGTAATTTGTTAAATGTTAACCTCTGCGAAAATGAGGGGCAGGAATGAGGCTGAGGGAGATTCTCGCTGGGGACAGATTGAGGGAAAAGGATTTGATGTATTATGTCGATATGGATTTAGGGGATGGGAACCACCACAATTGCATACTGAAAAGCCCATGTTGCGACTTCTGTGGCTAAGGATCTTGTGGCAAATCAGGAAGGCTGAGTTACGATCCATTTTCAAAAGGCCTCCCGTTGGTATTTCCTCTTTGCCTCCTTTTCTTCAGGGTTATGTTTGTGTAATGTTCTCTGTAGAACTTGGGGCCATGAAGAGACTGGGTGAAACTGAACTTAGCCAGTCTTCCATATCCTCTTTCATTATCTGAGCCAGCAGGCACTTTTCCTCTCACACCTCCCATCTGTCTACCAGCAATTTCTATCTCCAAGGTAGTTGATTGCTTTCAATAGTTGTCTAAGATACAGATTCATCCATGTATTTGTTCTTGCCCTCTTCCATTCATCTGTCCATCTGTACACTGATATATTCAACAAAACATTACTGAGCACTTATTCCATGCTGATGGATAGGTGCTGTAGATACAGAGAGAAAAGACATTGTTCCCAGCTTCCAAGAGTCCAGTGCCTAATGTGAAGAGATAGAAAAGTAAGCCAACGTTGATAAAACCAGATGGCAAAGCAGAACGGTGAAGAACGTGGCTTTAGAGTTGTCCAGACTTGGGTTTGAATTTAGGCTTCATTATTAAGAACTGTTGTGACCTTGGGCAGGTTACTCTCTGGTCCTCTGTTTCCTCATCTGTAAAATAGTGAAACTATTTCATAGAGTCGTTGTGGTAATGAAAGCCAAGAAATTCTAGAAAGCGTTTAGTACAGTGTCTTGCTCATAGAAAATGTTCAGCAAATACTGGTTATCATCATTATAGAAGGGTGCATGGGGTCCTAGGGAGCTCATAAGGGGGTTTGTAATCCAGCCTAGAAAATCAGATAAGATTTCTCAGATTGGATGCTGTTATAGCTGAGTGTTGAAGAATGAGCTGGAGTTATCTGAGCAGAGAAGGGCATTCTCAATAGAAAGAAAAGTACATGCTCAGAGTCCTGAGGCAATAAAGGCAGACTGTATTAGAGTAGTTTGAAGTAGTTTAGTTTGGTTAAAATACAGGAGAAAGTCAAGAAGTAGTAATAGTTAACATTTATTGGGCACTCGTATATGCCAGGACACAGTTACAAGTGCTTTCCAGATACTTTCATTGAACCCTCCTAACAACTCTATGAGGTAAGTATAATTTTTATGCCTCACTTAGAGGTCAGGAAACAGGTGCCTAAAGGATGAGGGGATCTGCCTAGAGTCACATAATCAGGGGGGAACAGAGTTGGTATTTGAACCCAGATCATTGGTCTTCAAAATTATGGAGATTTTTACCACTATACCTCTAGATTAAAGCTAGTGGTGTCAACAACGTCCTCTCTTGTGGTGACATTGAATCTGGTTGAACACTTCAAATCAGATCTTGGGCCCTTAGTAAAGTACTTCATCATTCTTGCAACAGTTTTCTGGGACAACTCCCAATTTGTCTAAGAGGACCCCTCCCCCACTCTTTCTTTGTGTCTCAGAATGAGCCATTTATGATCAGCCACCCTGGTGGACAGTAGGGAAGTCCTAGTTCTGCCAACACTTCAGAGCCTTTTCCATCATGTGACACTGCTGCTCCTGTGAAAACCCCTTGAACAGTCTTGCCACATTGATAAGTGATCCCTGAATATTAATTAGTTGAATCTGAATTAGGTAGGGACTTGGATGTGGGCTGTTAAGGTCCTTTTGAATTCTAAGACTCTGTAACTTCTCTTTTAGGATCCCTTGATCATATCACTGTGGTAACTGCTGATGGGAAGCTTGCTTTAAACCAGATCGGCCAGATCTCCATGAAGTCTCCACAGCTGATTTTGGTGAATATGGCCAGTTTCCCAGAGGTAAGGAGGCTTTTGCCAAAGGGACCTCTTCGGGGTCTCTTTTGGAATGGAGGAGGCTGGGCCAAGTCAGGAAGTAGTCCTTCCAACTTGGGATGAAACAAGAGAGAAGCCATAATAAAGGGAATGTAATGATAAGGAAAAACTCTCTTCTTGTTTCAAAATTCTTTTTCTGTTAAACTCGAGCACTAAAAGGCCAGGAAAGTAATTTGAATACTTAAACAGGCTCCATCTAAGAAACAAAATAGTGGGGATACAGTGATTGGCGCTTAGCCGAATGGAAGGATCTAGGGTAAGTGGGAGAGCCTGCGCCCTGTCTGAAGGGAGCAGCCTCTGCCCGGCTCCTGCTCATCATTGCCAGGTAGAAGTTAGATCAGTGATGGGGCGCCTAGGTGGCTTAGTCTGTTGAGCGTCTGACTTTCGCTTAGGTCATGATCTCACGGTTCGTGGGTTCGAGCCCCGCGTTGGGCTCTGTGCTGACCGCCAGCTCAGAGCCTGGAGCCTATTTCAGAGTCTGTATCTCCCTCTCTCTCTGACCCTCCCCTGCTCACGCTGTCTCTCTCTCTCTCCTAGAAATAAATAAAAAATATTAAAAAAAAAAAAAAAAAAGAAGTTAGATCAGTGTTGTCAGATATTAAGGTTTTTATTTCTAGAATAAGCCTGTAACTCACATTTTTATATAAGATCTTTCCTAAATGTTGGTAACAAATTCCCTTTTTTTTTTAAAAGACTATGAGACAAAGCGAATTAATGGGCCAGATTTGGGCTGTGGGCCCCCAGTTTGTGACCTTTGCATTAGTACTGGAAGCAGACCTTCAGAAATTCTTATTCCTTTCAAACTGGTCATTGCAGGATTGGACAAAGCACAGAGTTTCAAAGGCTAGAAGGTGGGTTGCATTAGATCATCACAACCTTGAGGCTATGGTTTTAAGTCTAGTTGAAGAAGACAAATGAGCTTTTCTTTATTGTTCCAGTAGGAATTGACCTGGATTGGGAGTCCTGAAGAACCTGGGACCCAGTCCCGTCTCCACCTCCAGCTGGCTATTGGACCTCCATTTTTTCAACTGTTAATAATGAGGTGGAGGGATCTGAAGTCCCTTCCTGTTCCGATGGTCTTCTTCAGTAGTTCTGTCCCAGAGACCAAAGTGGAACCTGTTGGATTTGAAAATTGGGTTAGAGATACAAGCAGGGAAATCCCTTGCTATGAACAACCTGTTTCAAAGCAGAAGGCCGCTGTAGCTAACATGCCAGGCACACTTGTGCGAGGCTGTTCTGTTTCCCATACTGCAGCCAGAGTGAACTTTTAAAAATATGTATTGGATTATGTCATTCCCATGCTTTAAATTTGTCAGCGACTCCATGTAGTCTTTAAGAAAAAAGCTGTTTTGGCCTAAAAGGCTTTGCCTCATGGGGGCGCCTGGGTGACTTAGTCAGTTAAGTGTCTGACTTTGGCTCAGGTCATGATCTCATGGTTCATGAGTTCGAGCCCCGCATCTGGCTCTGTGCTGACAGCTCAGAGCCTGGAGCCTGCTTTGGATTTTGTGTCTCCCTCTCTTTCTCTAGCCATCCCCCACTAGCACTCTGTCTCTCAAAAATAAATAAAGATTAAAAAAGAAGAAGAAGAAGAAGGCTTTGCCTTATGATACGGCCCTGGCCTGCATCTCATTTGCAGTCTTAAGCCACTGTCACCCCTGTCCACCGCTCTAGGCACACTGGCCTTTCAGCTCCTTACACACACCATACCTTTGCATCCTCAGGAGTTTTGCGTATGCTGTTGCCTTTGCTCGGAGCACTCTTGCATGTCTAATTTTACTCCTACTTTGGATCATAGCTCAAATGTCACTTTTTCAGGGATACCTTCCCTAAACTGCTCAATCCAAATTATTCGTCCACACTGGCCTCTCTTACATAGTGTGTTCTTGTTCCTCACCGCTCTTATCATTAACAGTTACACATTTATTTCCGTCTTTATTTTCCATCTCCCTTCCATTAGGACGTAAGCTTGGAAGGTAGGAATCGTATCTGACTTGTTCATTGCGTCCAGCACCTCTCACGCGGCCTGGCACATGGAAGCACTCAGTAGATTTTCCTCAAGTGGATGAATACTTGTCATTAGATTGATAGAAGGAGGGCACTATTTCCTGGTGTCCCTGAGAAGCAGAGATATGGACGAAAAGAGAATTGTCGACTCTTCCCCATTCTGGCCCTCTCTAAATGGCTGAGGCCTTCTGCCTTGTTCATCTGATCCCATAGGCACTGTGGGCCAATTTAGGGAATAGCCTCCTAATTACACAGCTTGAAGACCTCATCAGGCAGATTGCTTTTCAGAGCCAGCCACTTCTGTTATTAAATAGCAAATGGCATTCACAGAAGAAGCACCTGATTGGCCACCAGAGCATCTTATGAGGCAGGAGGAGGTATTAACAGCTTAATTTTTTCTTAGGAAGTTTGGAGTATATCTTCATTTTTCAACCAGTGCATCTTTGCCATCTCTCTAAGTTGAAATTCTGTGAGTTTTGAAAAGAAAAATCTTCATAATCATCTCAGTAGAGAGGTTCTTTACAAGGACAGAGTGAGGAAGTGTGACTTACATTGTCTTTTGAATTCCTTTATCTCATCTGGTGCATATATTAAACAAATAGCTCTAACTAAACATTTCCTTCCTCTAGTTTAGAAACTGTCCATAGACTGCCCAGGTTCATAGCTTCAAATGCTGAGCTAATCCCTTCTGTGTTTATGTAATTCCTTTCTGTCTCACATGCGGTTGGCATGCTTTCCAAACCTGTGTCGTGGTGTAGGACACGATGCAGATTTACATGCATAATCTCTTCAAATGCACTGCAGACAGAACACTGTGTTGCATTTGTTTAACACGTGTCCTGCTTGATGAATGATACACACAGTTGCTGCCTTCCATAAACTTGCCTGCAGCTAGAGTTAATGATGGGAAAGAAAAGAAGGGAGTAAGAAACCACAGCTTGATTTGAACAAGGCAAATGAAAAAAAAATTTCCACAGCCTCCACGATTGCTCTTGTGGAAGGAAGAAGGCTAATGTGTACTGAGTGTCTGCTGTGTTGCCAGGCGTTACTTTCTCAGATTTTGTTTAGGGATCGACACAGGTACTCTCTAAAGTGAAGCATTATTTATTCTGTTTTCTAGATGAGGCTCAGAGACATCTTCCCCAGGTTCACACTGTTAGGATAGAGTCAAGTTTGAACACAGGTCTTTTTGACACTAAAGTCTGTGTTCCTTTCACCATTCCTGCATTAATTCAGCAAATTAAAAACGATAACAAAACCTCCCACAAGTATTTATTGAGTTTCTGTGAGTTATTAGGTTCTATTTGAAGTGTTGGGAATTCATTGATGATTAAGACAGACAGGGTTCCTGCCTTCATAGACCTTATATTCTAGGGACTATGGAGATATAGAGAAAATGGGAGGTCCACTAATTAAAATGGCCCTGGCAAAGTTGACTTGAACCCAGATTGTCAAAGTTCTTGTTCACCTGTCTACAAAAATTTTATCATTTTTATTCTTTAAAATAGATTAGCTTAAGAGTCACAATAGCAGACATTGATAATCGGTTATGGTACTCTTTCTTGCCTGACCCTAGATGGAGTCTATGAGCTTTCCTGACACAGTACTCCAAGCAGCTCCAACTAGTTGGTTAGTGTTGCTGTTTGAGAACAGCCTATTTGTCCTGGGGTGCTATTTAGCATCCCTTCAGTAAGGAGATACAGGCTGAGATGGAATGCAATAGAAATATGTGCCTTTTTATCTGAGGTCATTTTGGGAAAATAACTGTAATTCCCTGAGTTTACGTATCCTACCATATCAAAAGAAAATATACATGTTTAGAATATTTTAGCAGAACTGGCCGAGAAGCCAGTGCATTAATCTACTCATTCAACATGCATTTACTGAGCACTTTCCATGTACTCAGCACTGTCATTGTACTGGAAAGATACACATATTGAGGTATAGTTCCTGCCCAGCTTGGAAGCAGCAGGGTGTCCCATACCTACGGGGGAAGGTTGTCTGGAAAGATTGAGGCAGACGGCAATGGGAGTTGGTGGCAGTGAGATGTTACAGCTGAGTTCTCGGTCATTCAGAAGCTTCAGGAGAGGAGGATTTGGAGACTTGAGATCAGGCCACTTCTTCGAAGTAGAGGTTCTCCCTTTATTGCTAACTTTAGAAATGTTTCATTTTATTAAGGAAGATGGCAGTTCTCTTTCAGAGGAAAATTTCATTTCTTTATCCAACTCTTTAATTTACCTGCATCATTCCCTTTATATACCAGCCCATTTCCAAATTATTTTTGGTTATTTAAAAAAAATTAAATTCTGCATGCCATGATTACCTAATACATCGAAAGGAAATACAAGGTAATGTCATTGCATGGAGAGTTGAGGCACCTCGAATCTCCTCCTGACTCTGCCAGTAACCAGAAATATGATGGGCAAGATCCTCAGTCCACTGCTCTTGGCTCTCAGGGAGGACCAGATATGTGTGTAGGGTCCCTGTTTACATGGGGAAGGGACTGAACTCCATTGTGTCAGAGATCCCATCCAGCTCCAGCAGTCCGTGGTCAGGGATACCATTTGAAGAATTTACTGTTTTAAGCAATGGTCACACTGTGTTATATTCTGTGACGGCCTTCCAAAGGGATGATTCATTTGCATGTGGACTTGTAGTTTGTCATTTTTCACCTTATGGTAATACCTTATGTCCTTGCAGAATTAAGGTCATGTCAGTATGAAATAGATAAGATTTTTAGGCACTCTCTCAAAACCAGAACAAAATAGGTGTGCAACAAACCCCATTCATTAAGCCACAAAGTCTAGGGAGGAACTTAGGGCCAAGAATTGGCCCTGTGAATCCAAGTGAAGTACACCAGCTCTGGCCAAACCTAAAAATCTTTGAAGATGTCAGAGGCCTTGTTTGCTTGAATTCCACATTGCTGTGTCAATGAAGGTATCTCCCATCCACACTGCTTTGTTTTATCCTTTAGCGTTTCATAGCAGGTGTAGTTATGTTGTTTGAGGTGAGGCACATTGGGAAATCCATGTACCTCGGGCTGCCTGACACAGTAGAGAGCAAGACTATATCAGAGAAGACCCTGAAGGATGTCAGGCAGGACAAGAGCGCATCAGCTGGCTGATGACATCAGCTCAGCCTTGTTGGGGGATTTGCACATTCTTACCTTTATAGAAGAGTTCAGGTGGCAACGCCCCTTGCCTGGGTGTTACTGTGTGCCAGGCACAGAGCAAGATGCATTGTTCATGTTACCTCATTGAATCCTCTGGGAGATACAGGTACCATGTCCTCTCAGGTTACAACATGGAGACCTCGGGTCAGGATTGTTGCCCCAGGTCACATGGTTACCAGAGCTAGGATTTGGACTGAGATCTTCCTGACTCCAATGCCCAGGCTTTTGACTACTACACCGTACTGCCTTTCCTAGAGCACATACCAGCAGAGACTCGCTGCTCATTCCAAAACATGAGTGAGGTTGGTGTGAGCGTAGATGCGAATGAGTTAAATTTATTTACTCATTCCAAATCGGCACTGGTATATTTTGAGTGTAAAATGTCAACTGGAATTTTTAATGTATAAAATCTTTCATCTGTCTTTACACCAATCTTTGTACAGACCAGCCCCCCTCCCTTGAGGATTTATTGTGGTTTTGATCTGTGTTGCCTCAAACCATTGAAATCTTTTCAAAGAAGCAGAGCTGTTTTCTTTTTATTTTTTCCTTCTCTTTGCTTTTCTTCCCTCCCGCAGTACACTGGTACCAGGAGTGGACATAGTTTGCTATTCAGCTTGATCAAAGCACTCTACACCAATGTAACTTCCTGATCTTACTGGTAACAGAACTAAATGTTTCCATGTTCTGCCAAGATGGGTTGCCAGTTATCGACAGAGGGCTTGCATCTGGTAATAATTATTTACTAATTCTGTTTACCTTTTGATCTGGTTTTCAGTGTACAGCTGCAGCTATCAAGGCTATAAGAGAAAGTGGAATGAATCTGAACCCAGAAGTGGAAGGGACGCTAATTCGGGTACCGATTCCTAAGTAAGTTTGGTTAAAATCCACATCTTTTGATGCAATGGGGCAGTTGTCCTTGGAAGGAAACCAACACGCCACGATACTGTGAGGCCTGTAGCATATTTTACCTGTATTCTTACCCTGGCAAACCCCAGGATCCTTTGAGATCCAATTTACTGATTCAGAAATATTTACTGCGTGCCTACTACATGCTAGGGGCTGGAGATGCAGCAGTGAACCTGCCAGAGCCCTTGTCTGCATGTAGGGTACATTCCAGGTTGGGAAGGTGGGACACATAAACAGTAAAGTCATGCCAGATAATGAAATGGTGTGGGGAAAGTAAAGGTGGTGGGACCCCATAGAGCGACTTGATGAGGGTGATGGTGGAGGGACAAAGTTGGCCTGGGAGAGCTCCTTAGGGAGGTGACATTTTTGCTGAGCTGAATGGGGAGGAAGAGCCAGCCTGGGGGAGGGCCTTTTCGGGCCTACTGAGCAGCCAGCACAAAGGCCCCGAGTCAGAAAAGACCTCGACACTCATGTTCCTTTAAGAGTTAATTTTTACATTCGTCCTTGCTTGTTGAAAAATGGAGGCATTAGAACAGAATATTGTTAATTATATAAATAGAACTTGGAGTTTTGAATGAATAAAAATGTATGTTTATTTTTAAATTAAAAAATAACAAGACCTTGGCATGTTTGAGAAGGAGAAAGCCAGTGTGCCTGAAACTCAGGGAGGGGGGCAGGGAGACAGAGTGGAAGATGGGCTCCTCTCCCCATGGTAAGGAGTTTGGGCTTTACTGTACTTGGAATGGGAAGCCACTGGAGGGGTTTAGGCAGAGCAATTTGATCCGATGTTAACTTTTTGGGGGTCTTTCTGGCTGCTGATGAACAAATGGAATGTCAGGGGACAGAGTAGACATTTATGAATAGGCAGGAGGCCACTACGATGGTCCAGGTGAGTTAGAAATCTTTGCAGATTCCAGAGCAGGCAAAGTAGTTTCTCCTTTTGTCATCTCATTTCTTATTTATCTGTAAGTCCCTCTTCCTCCATAATACTTCTGGGACAGCAGATCCCAAGTCAGTGTTGAATTAATTCATTTAGTCATTCAGCAAATATTTATTAAGCACTAACTGCATGTCAGGCACTTTCCTGGTGGTTGAGAGACAGCAGTAAATAAAAGAAGCAAGACAAAGCTACTGTGTTCCTGGGCTTGCCTTACAGTTGAGTAGGAATAGTAAACAGAAAGGCAAACAAACACAAGATGTAATGTCAAGTGAGGATGAGGACGATGAAAGAGAATAAGCAGGGTAAGAGGAGAGAGGATTAAGGTTTTTATTGCAGATAGGAAGGTTCAGAAGGGAGTGACATTTGATCAGAGACCTAGATGAAATGAATGAATGAAGCCTGCAAGCAACTAGAAGGGAAATAGAGTCTTTTTGTGCCACACGCTGTGTTATATTTCTTTACATATATTGCCTCACTTCTCACGCAGTCCTGTGAAGTACGTTTATTCCGGGTATGGAAATTTAGGCTCAGAGAAGTAAAGTAATGTGTCTAAGATCATTTGGCTTACGCTAAAGCTGGGACCTATGCCTAGGCTTAATTGATTCTAAAGCCTCACGATGTGCCCACACTAGCAATAGGAACCAATCCCAACACTGAGAGTCCAGGCACTTTGCCCAGTGAACTTTCTTTCTGCTTTATGACCAGAAAATGGCTGTCTTATTTCATTGTGTTCTCGTATTCTGTAAGTCACTATTGACACTGTGCTTTGAAATCATGTGACTTGGGAGCAATATAACCTAGTGTTTAAGAACCAAGTAGACCTGGGTTCAAGTCCAGTACCTATTTGCTTGGTTAGTTCATTGATCTGCTCAGCAAATTTTTACAAATATAAAGGCTCTGTGCTGGGGGCTAGGGATGTACCAACCTGATGTTTATCTTCATGGAGCTCATAGGCTGTGGCCAGGCCCCTTTTCTATATCATCTGCAGCTTATCTGTGGAATTTACTGTTATCCACAGCTTAGGGATGACAAATTGAAATTCAAAGAAATTAAGGGACTTGCCCAAGATCATTTGACCAGTAAGTGGTGGTCAGGATTCGAATCCTCAGTTTTTCTGTTACTAGAACACGTGCTATTTATCCTGCACTGTCTTTATAGGTGGGTAATTCTGGAAAGTTCTACGTGTACTCATGGACAGCAAATGTAAGACTTGCAAGTGGAATGGATAATAGGCTTATTTGGTAGCTCTTCTTTGTAAAAAATTGTTAACGTTTATTTGTTTTTGAGAGAGAGAGTGAGTGCGAGCAGGGGAGGGGCAGAGAGAGAGGGAGACACAGAATCTGAAGCAAGCTCCAGGCTCTGAGCTGTCAGCACAGAGCCCGACGCAGGGCTTGAACCCACAAACCTCGATATCACGACCTGCGCTAAGTCGGACACTGAACTGACTGAGCCACCCAGGCACCCCTATTTTTTAGTTCTTGGTCTTTTGTCTGCATAATCTTGGAAAAGCTACTTAACCTCCATGAGCCTCAGTTTCCTCACATACCAGATGAAGATTGTTCTCAGTGGCTTGCCAGGTCCCTCTGAACTTTACAATTCTGTGGTGCTGTGGATTTCTGCTGCTGAATGCTCATTGCTGACTTAGCTTCGCCTTAGAGTGGCCTGATTGTGTATCATATTCTTCTTTTAAGACCCAGTTGACATAATGTGCACCTCTGTAGCCCCTATGTGAGTTTGAAGGATCAGTGAGTTTTACTTAAATTTCCAAAGACTTGGGGATCTGTTACATTATATTTTACATTATTTTATGTTGGTTAATGGGAGTAATCTAAGAGAAAGTTGACGGACCAAAACCGTCTGCTCCTGCAAACCTCATTTTTTATATACTTACTTCCCTTTGACAAGGTGGTAAGGTCAGGAGGCCCCTGACTGAATTATACGTTTGGTAGTTTTCCAGATAAAAAATGAATGATCTGTTCTTCATTATGGAGCCTGTGTCACATGAGAGGATAAAGGTTGATTTAGACGTAAAGAGGACCAAGGTTTTTATTTGGTTTTGGCAGTGACTTCCACATGACTGTGGGCACGTCACCCTAGCAGCTTGCTGCCTGCCAGTTCATTACTTGCAAAGTAAGTGAAATAATACATAATGATAGGTAGAGATTTCATGGGATTAGTAGAGAAAATAGATTAGGTCGTATGATCTCCTTAGAGGAAAGAAACTATGTAAATAAAAGATACTGATATTATTTCAGTAAACTTAATTTTCTAGATATATGTAATTCTGGTTAAGGAGAAGGGAAGAAGTGAGGAAGGGAACTAATATATTGAGTACCTACTACATCCCAGGACCTCATTAGGTGCTTAACATAGATGGAGAAAGTGGCAGAGTATAGAGCTAAATTTCTGCCTTGGTATCACGGAAGCACGCAGTTGAGTTCATCCTGTTCCACTTTGTCGCTGTGTGACCATGGCAACTGTCCCCACCTCTCTGAATCTCTGGGACATTATCTGTAAAATATTTACGGGGCTTGGGTGTGGTTATTGGGAGATTTCAGTGAGATAATGTACACAAAGATTTTGATGTTTAGCCGGCACCCAGCGAATGAATGCTAGCAAATGTTCCTCCATTCCCTTTCATAGAGAGGTCGGAGCATTGTTCCCTTTTAAGGATGAGGAGACAGATTCAGAGAAGTGAGGCATTGGTTCTGGGTCACATGGCTGGTAATTGACAAAGTTGTGAGGAGGAGCATAATAGCGTAATACCCTAAAGCTTACATGAGGTGATTGGGAGGTGAGGTAGAACCAGAGGCATATATCCCTAGGATCAATTTATGATTATGAAATTTCAAGTTTAGTTTTAGGAAAATTTGCCTTTCCTGATCTGGATTCCTCTTCTGCCTAACGAGCAGTCTGCAAGTTTTCTGGCCTTAACTCTGGCTGCTCACAGCTAAGTTTTATTTGCAGTTGCCACAGATCTCAGCTAGTACCTCGCCTTCATTATATTTCTGATTCTTACATTCTTATTTAAATGAGTCTACTGAGTATGTGACTTGTACTAGAATCTGCCTCTGATCCTTTTAGGAAATAGGGGGAAGATAAATCCTAAATCGACAACAGGTCAGACCCGGAGCCGTCTTTCACAGCCTCTGGGAACCCAGGCCCGTGCAGCTGTGTGCGGGTCTCTCAGGGCTGTCTTCAGTATGGTACCACTGAGCCTCAGAGGCTGGGTTCCATCTGTCCCCACTGGCAGTGCGTGTAGCTTTTGTTTTCTTCTCTGTCGGCGTTCTTTGATTTAGAGAAGTCAGCCTGCTGGATAGATTCTTTGACCAGTCCTGTTAATCTGGGTCACTGAAATCGTTTCTTCTGCTTTCCTTTCCTAGCTGTGAAATCAGCTTTGGGGGCTGTTTATTAACTACCTTCCATGCAGGTGCGGCACCCGAGGGTGCCGTGCTGGATGCTTTGTAGTTTCTCTTCCTTCTCATTACACTCCCATGGGGTCAGGAGACTATTCTTTTTTTTTTTAATTTTTTTTTTTAATGTTTTATTTATTTCTAGGAGAGAGAGAGACAGCGTGAGCAGGGGAGGGTCAGAGAGAGAGAGTGAGTGACAGACTGAAACAGGCTCCAGGCTCTGAGCTGGCAGTCAGCACAGAGCCCGACGCGGGGCTCGAACCCACAAACCGCGAGATCATGACCTAAGCGAAAGTCTGACGCTTAACCGACTAAGCCACCCAGGCGCCCCAGGAGACTATTCTTAATGGCCATTTGGGGAGACAACCGAAGCTCATGGCCATCATAAAGCTGCTAAGTGGCAGAGGCGGGGTTAGAACTCGGGTCTTAACTATTTTAACTGCCGTTTTGCTTGTTCTCGTCTCCTGATGGCACATCTCTCTGGAATATCACTCTTTCACTTCTTAATCGGGGACTCTGGAAAGTTTTGAGCAGGAGATCCTTTTCATCAGGCCAGTTGCTGCCCCTGCCCCACTCATGTCTTTGCTGGGCCCCCACACAAGCAAGCAGACA